TGAAGTGGAGCTGTTGCATGCTGCGCTCCTATTTCTTCCAAAAGATGAAAAGGGCGGAGGATCTAGTGCTTGAAGTTGCAAAGCTGGACTTTTGGGTGAAATGTAAGAGGGCTTTGTGTAAGCGTTTAGGCCTGCAAGACCAGGGGGAGGCGCGCAAGTAGGCTGGACGGGAGCTTCGGAGCTCAAATCCCTACTTTCTCGCGTCCAACCTCCAAGTGCAAGCGCGGCCTCGTCGGGTTGCTGATGGGGCGCAAGAGGAAGCGGAGCGTTCGGAGGTGGACTCATCTCTGGCAAATCGTGTCTGTTGCCCATCCTGGCACTCGTGATGATGGGCGACCGACTTGGTCCAGCCGTAGGGGCCAGAGCTAGGGTGCCATGAGAAGCTCGCCGGATTGGCGGCGCCGCTTGGGAATGCGCCGCAGCGTACCCCGCGGCATTGCTGGGTCGACGAGCGACTTCGCGCGAAAGCAAAGGCATGCTTGGTCTTCGATTGGCATTGTAATGGAGATGCAGCGGTAAGACCGATCCTGATCCTGATCTTACTCTTGATGGCGTTCCATGGTACTCCAAGGCATCCGCACCTCGAGGCGAGCCCCATGCTTTGCCTTCCGCTTCAGCCAAGGCCCATTCCCGCATCACCCACGCTCGACCAGAGCTGCCGGGCGGCGTGCCGGAATGCGCGGAGGAAGAGTGACGTAGCTGGTTGAAAGGAGCAGATCGAGGTGGGGTTCCCGAAAACGTTCGCACGTGATCGGCTGACCTATCCGAAGGAGTGTGGTAGTAGGTCGATGCAGTCGCGGGTCTCTCTTGATGATCGAAACCTGCTGGTAGCAAGGTAGACGAGTGACTGGCGTTCGAAAGAAGGCGTGCATGGTTCGCTCCCAGGGAGCTAGCGCTGTTGTCCAACTGCGTGTAGCGATGACCTCCATCACTTGACTCAGGATTACTTGGCCCTTCATTCGCATGCTCGGCTGCAAGTCTAGCCAAGTCATCAGCCGAGGCGAAGGGAGAGCGGGCTGGCGCAAGTGGCATGCCAGCTCCGCGCACTGGAGCTGGCATAGGTCCAAAAGGCGTCGGGTAATACACCGTCTTGCCTTGTCGCAGGGAGCGCTGCACCCGACCAGGATCAAGATCAAGGTTTTCGACGAGACTGGTCATAGTTGCCGTCTCATCCATCGGAACGTGGACGCTGCTCTTTGACCTGTTGAACAGCTTTGGTCTCATCGTCTTCTTTGAGCGTCTCGACGAGCTGCTGATGCGGGATGCAGTCTGCGGATCTTCAGCATCGTTGATCGACATGATTTGGAACTGAGGATCGTCCATTGATGCAGTTTGGCTCATGATGCCATCTGCAACGGGACGCATGAAGATAGCGTTTGGCTTGCGCTTGTCCCGTTTCAAGCTGAACTTGATGCCCACATCGTCGAGAGCATCTGCGCTCTGCTCCTCTGGATCGGGCACTTGCCTGTGTGAGCGGAAGGTATCTGCTTCGCCCCTGCTGGTCATTGTGCCCGCATCAAAGGTGGCATGCACGGATTCTGGTACGGCCGGCAACGTTCGCGTCTTGTCGTGCGGGCTGAGAGCGTTAAAAGTCGTCGAGCCATTGCGAGGCCTCTTGCTTCCCAGACGTGAAGCCTGTCGTCTGCTGTCATCATCGGAAGGCGCATTGGCTGGATCGAAGAAGCGAGAAAAGATGGAGCTGAGTGCGAGAGTACCAAAAACCACGGCAGTCCACGCTGCTGCCAAGCTTGCACCCTGTATGAGGTTCGATGCTTTCTTTGGTCCACCAGCGAAGCTGCTATGTAGGCGTCCGCCGAGAAGTGCCGAGATTGCCAGGTAGGCAGTCGCACCGATGGTGATGCTGATGTACAGGAGCAGCAGGTTTATGTAGCAGCGCCGCAGGTATCTGTAGCGCGACCATGGAGTTCCAGCGTGACTGAATCGTCGCTTTGCTTTGCGCTCTACATCTGATCGCAATGGCGGAAAGAAAATCTCTTGTTCCGACTTGTGTCGTTCCAACGCTGCGCTTTGTCCTACTGCAGTGCGCGGTGTGACAGGTGGTGTAAGACCTTCGTCTGGCACTGCTGTGGAACCGTCGACGCCACTGGCGCCCAGAGGCCTGAACAGCAGCGACTCTGACGGACCATCTTCCAACTCGAATGGTCGCGGAGCATCACCGCTCGCAGCCGAGAAACGATGTGAGTCTTTCGGCTGAGTCGGCAAAGGCCTTTTCTCCTTGGCCGCCGCTACTTGTCGCTCTTGAAACTCCTGCAATACCTTGCGCTGCTTTCGCACTTGGCTCAACACCAGCTTCAGCAGCACCCCTCCGGCCGGAATGTAGAAGATCAGGAAAAGACCTGCCCAGACTGACCAGATGGTGTAGGTCAGGCCTTGAAACCACTGCGCGTGGAGCTGGGCAATCCAGACTCGATCAGCTTGTTCGAGCAATTGCTCGGTAGTGGAACGGGAAACGACCAAGGAGCCAGACGCATTTGCTAGCTGCAGGGCGTTCGCCGAGAATTGCTGATACAGGGAGAACGAACGGTTGAGATTGACTTGCGCTAGAATGATAGGTGGCGCAACAGACGCGACCAGCACGAAGGGAGTTCCAAGGCTGATCAAGTTGACCAGCAGTGGTCGAGGTAGCCAACGACCGACCGTCGAGCTACTGAGCGGTCCACGGTCGAGTGCACCAGGAGCGGTATAGAAGGAACCCCAGCCCGCCACATAGGCTCCAAGCCACAGCGGAAGCCAGATGATGGTGTTGAAGACGGCAAGCCAGCCCTGCGGGTTGCTCTGAGCCCGCCAGTAAGCCAAAAATTGCGTGACGCTAAAGACGATCCACACGCATCCAAATATGCCCTCCATGACCAAAAAGCAGTTGAGAGCATTCGGAACAATGTAGACGCCTTCTGACCGTCTTGTAATTTTGATGAGCCAGAACCTCTGCTTGATGATCCGTATCAAGATGACAATCACTGCCAGGTCGAAGGGAAGCGTCAGCGGTGCCCGCGTACGGCCGCTCCACCGTGCCAAGACTTACCGCCGCATACAAGAAGCAGCGCGATGACCGCAATGCAAGCTGCTACTTGAATGAAGAACGTGCTGTCGAGATCGAGGGTGAAGAGGCGGTGTATGAACGCCTCGAGATCCCGTACAGCCCCCGCCGAGGCACCTTCGGGCTGAGAAAGGGCCTGCGCCAAGTCGGCGGGGAATGGGTCGTGCGTTTGCGATCCATACCCGGCTTGCAGTTGACGCAGAGTATCTTCAAATGATCGTCCTGCCGTATGTCCTGCAACGCTCGACAAAGTGTCGAGCAGCATACCGCGCACCGCAGTTTGAGCACCACCTGCTCTGTGCTACGACCAGTAGCTCGGTCTGATCAGTCGAAGGGTCGAAACTCGTTGCAGCATGCGTACCGAGCACGCTCCGGAGTCGGGGAGTGCAAGCTCTTCGACAGCTCACAGCGCGCGAATCGACGGCGCTGAGCAGACAGTAGGGTCGATTTGTTGTGGGTTGGGATGATGAAGGGATTTGTAAAGCAAAGACGTATCAGAGACGTTGGTGCCTCGACGCCCAGAAGATTCGGGAGCGAGCTCGACCGAATCCCTTCGAACTTCGCCGTCGGATCCTAATGGAAGTAAAGCAACGCGATTGACCAAGGAAATGCAAGAGGAAGAAGAGCCAAGCGTCAAGATTCGAAGTCAGCCAGGTGATAGCTCGTGCTGTGGTACCAGTAAAAGGCATACAAACAAAGCTGACTTCTGGTCGGAGTGGTGAGGCACTGACAGCAGAGTCGCCGAGCGGATACCGTCATAGGATGCTAGCCAGCTGTCTAGGGCAAGTGTCGCCCACAGTCTTGCCCAGCTAGCAGGCTCGTTGCACAGAGCTGTACGTGACGGAGTTGGGAGAAGGGGAAACGTTCCGACGTTGGGCTAAGCTGGGCAAGTCATGATGTCTGTGCTTGTCTCGGATGAGAATGAGCCAGACATTGCCGCTGGCGAGCGATGCTCGGTGACTGCGATGCTTCGACCCCGCTTGAGGAAGGTTGACCGTGCAAAACTGTCCGAATGCTGCGAGATGCTGCGAGAGGAGCGGTCATCGACTTTCGTCGCCCGTTGGTCAAGCAGGGCTAAACGGATGCGGTAGGAAGCAAAGCGGCGGCCTTGCGTCGTCTGAGACTTGTGCGGGGAACTTTTGCTGCGAGAGAGCGCCACGGCGTCCACCACTCTGCGCATTCAAGAACCGAGGAAGTTCGGCTCGCGCTCACAAGGTGCTCGTCGGATGAGATGCGGATCATGCGAATGCGGTCTCATTGATTGTGCACAGCTGGAAGCATCCGATCCCACAGTCCGAGGCTGCCCAGAGCGCGACCGCCATAACCCCGCCGCAATCACATCGCGCATCAGCGCTCAGTGCAGCCTCGAGAACTCACACGAGATGACGATAGAAACCACATCTTTCGCACCGCTGCCTCCTCCCACTGACCACTCTGCACTTCACACTCTCAACTGCTCGACGAAAGCGAGGTACTTTCCAGGGTTCGAACAGAGCTGCCGAGAAGCTCGTTGCTGCGCAGAGGATCTGCAAGATGTCTGCACGAAGCCCGATGCGGAGCATGAATTTTCAAGCCTTGAAGTGGCATACCGGTACCGGTACAGTAGTGACCATGGGGCGGTAGTGGAGACCAGCTGAACGGTGCAATGCAGTGACGAATGGACGAGGGTGCCAAGATCTAAGTAGGGCAGATGGCCTAGCTAGGCATTTGGGCAGAGGAGGAGGAAGTGCTGAGAAAGGTGGGCCGGGTGAAAGGAAGGTAAGGGGAAGGGTAGGGTGAGATGACATGGCGCATAAGTCGGCAGGCGCGGTCGTGGCTAGCAGTCACAGTGGTGAGTTGTGCGTCTGAGTGTGCGCGCGGGCTGGCCGCGTCCTGGCTGCGGTGCTCGATCACAAAGCAAGACAAGCGTGTGAGACATGTAGAGGTTGGTGTGGTAATCACGAGGGCACACAGGAGCGCATTGATTGCCATCACCTCTGTTGTGCGCTGCACGCCTGAATGGCGGCGCTTTGGCGAAGAGGTGAGCCGTGAGATGCATGCATGCGCGCTTAATTCCAAGCAGCGGACTCTGCCGCTCTGGATGCTTCTGCGTCCACGCGATGCGGACGGGTTCGTCGGTTGGGATGCGTCACAACCGAGATTTCACACCCGCACACTTCCTCTCCTTCGCGCCACAAATTTCAAGAGTCCCACCACGTGAGGTGCATCGAGGCCACCATCTTGCGGCTTCTCAATCAAAATCAAATCAAGGCCAGTCCATGCATTGGCTCTCCATCACAGTACCGCCGGACGCTTCAACACAATCGAACATTCGTGCCACCTTCAGCGGTGTTCGACGCCGCAATGTTGATTCTCATCAACTGCCCACGTGCACTTGCGTACTTCGCGATTCGTCCGTCATTGGTTTTGCCGCGTCCACTCGATCGACGATTGGTCAAACCGCTCAACCATCCCCCATCAAACAGCGACGCCGCCAAGACTCGCGATGCTCCCACCAGAGAGCAAATAGGCCGAAGAGATTTCGACGCTAAGGAGGTCGATCGAGTTCTCGCTCCCGACGCCGCATGCGTTTATTTGATTGAGCAGTGAGCCTTCAGGCTCACCATGCATGTACTGTACCTCAGAAGTCCCTGCGCTGAGCCTCGCCAAGCAGTCACAACCAGAGCGCACCTTCTCTGCATGCGTCAAGACCTGACCGTTCTCTACACACCAATTTCTCGTAATCTTGCTTCAGGCCCGGACAGGCCTGTTGAAAGTCCGGATTGTACGGCCGTGAGTCCGAAGCCAACCTGCCGCGGGGTGCATACCGCACACCAAGCGACCAAAGATGACGGCGTTTAGCGTGCGAATTTCCACATATCACCTGCGTGCTGAGATCTCGGGGTGAAGGTGCACGTATCTGTCGCATTTCGCATTGAAGCATCAAGACCAGAGCTTCACGATCAAGAACATGAAGAGCGCAGAATGGTCTCGAGACTGATCGGGATGAGGCTGATATGGGGGATGAAACTAGTGTACGTGCGAGGCTCGCGCCAAGACGCAACCAAGCGTGACTTCGGACCTCATCGAGGCAAGCCAGCGGAAGAAGTGCCGCCAACGCGAGAGTAAGATCCTCTCCCGCCATCTCCAACACCGAAGGTGCCCAGCACCTGTCTGATCTTGTCCCGCGTTGATGCCACTCCACCAAAATGTCGAACAGTGAGCGTGCTAATCAATCCGAACAGACCAATGATGACCAGAAAGCCTAAGAAAGAGACGCCCCCAGCAGTCTTGACGCTTGATGACGTGCCAGACTTGGTGCCGCTGGCGCTCACTTGATCTGCCACAGGCGTCACGACTGCCGTTGAATTTGGAGCTGCAGCAGCTGCCGGCGTGGAAGGCGGGGCGACAACGACCTGAAGACGCACGAGGAGACGGCAAAGAAAGACAATGGATCAGAAAGCGTGCGCACAAAGCGGTGCAAGCAGACATTCTCGCAGAACGCAGTGACAGGGAGAAATGAGGATTGAAACACGAGTGGCAAGCGTGCATGCTGCGATAGCAGGACGGACTCGCCTGACGCGTGGAATCGTCTCGTCTTTTACATTGAGGGTGTGCAACATGATCGCCAGCAAGAGGTTGAGGAGAGTAGTCAAGACCATCAAAGCTCGTCCTTCACCTCATGTGCAGCTTCCTTGAGCTCTCCAGACTTGGCGATGGTGACGGGGGACTTGGGTCGATCTCCAGGGGACTTGGGAACCTGTGCAGAGGCAGACGAAAGCGCGAGCGCCGCAATCAGTTTGCTTCTTCATCCAAATGCACGCGGTGTTAGACGAACCTTCTCAATGAGCTCAACAACGTCCATGCCTTCAATGACACGTCCGAACACTGCGTGTGGCAAGGGATTGGAGCGGCCGGTGGTAAGCGAAGCAAATTTGCGCTGGAGCACGTGCTACCACTTACCGACATGGCGCCCGTCCAACCAAGAGGTCTTGACCGCTGTTGAGTGGAAGAAATCGGTTCAGCTTGGCGAAGTATCGAAAGTTATCCCCTACAGCGATCCTTCACAGGCCTCGCAAGGAGATGATGCTCACTGCAAATGAAGAATTGGCTTCCGTTCGTGTCCCGGCCAGCGTTGGCCTATGAAAGGGGCAATGCACTTGAGTGCGTTAGCGTAAACATTAGTGCACCTTCTGGTAGTAACGCACCATGCTGAGGGTGCCAGGTCCTTCGTGCTTGAGGTCAAAGTTCTCATCTGCAAAGCTGCGGGGAGAAGGATGGTTTGTGAGAAAAGGCTCTGGACCAGGATGTATGCGCGCCGACGTACCGATCGCCGTAGATGCTCTTGCCTCCCCGTCCATCGCCCGAGGTGAAGTCACCACCCTGAATCATGAAATCTTTAATCTAACGCGGGCGAAGCAGATCACGCCGGCGTATTTAGCATGACTCAACTCTGTGCTCGCGCGGATGGCCAACTCACGACTCTGTGGAAGCTGCTGCCTTGGTATCCGAAACCCTTCTCACCGGTGGCTAGGGCGCGGAAATTCTCGGTGGTTTTGGGCACGACTTTACCGTATAAGCCCAGCACAATGCGACCAATGTCCTTGCCATCGTGTGTCATGTCAAAATAGACCTTGTGAGTGACTTCTGGTGCGGAGGCCACGACGCAAGGCAGCGCCACGAAGAGCGCTGCCATGATGGCCACAGCAGATAGACGCATCGTGGAGCGTAGTGAGGTGTTGTCGAGTGTAGGGTATTCGTACCAGCAGCTGAAGATGCTAGGAGGTGGATGATGGAGGGGCAAAGGATCTCCGACAATCACGAATGCGGGCTCGACATGCCAAGATGTGCACTCAAACTCACGGCAGCAGCTGTCGACGTGGACGCTGTTCCGTGCGAGGTGCTGGTGAATATTTGGTGCGTGTTGCACGCTGGCCTGAGCGCATATGCCTGCCCGTCACGTGTGAGCACCGCCCCTCGCGCCGATGCACCTGCTGCTGATGAGGGGATGAGCGCGTGCTGGACGCAACTTTGACTGATCTGCATGGTGGGCTTGGCTGCGCTGGCGCCCCGTGGGCGTCTGCGCGGGTGTGGCGCAGACGCGGCAGAGACCAACGCGACAGACACATCAAGCATGCAGGCAGCATGAAGCATATACCTATAGCAGGCGCAGAGACCGAGCAGCAGCTGCTGAGTGTAGAGAGGTCGGCTCTTGATAGCTACGTTACAATAGAGTCGTACTAGTAGTGCGAGTGTAGGTATAATGCGCCATCAAAGTTGAAATCGCTGCTGGACCTGGGGTGCAAGGCCTTGCCGTTTGCTCATCAACTATATCATCTCTCTCGCAGCAGCCAGAAAACGCGCCCCTCTCACCCACTTGCCCCTCCCCGCAACTGAGGTCAAACCCTGAGAATTACGGCCCTCCGCTGGACTCCATCTCCGTTCTAAGACGCACAAGAAAGTCCGCCGCTGCTCATTGCCGAGTGATCTGGAGCTGCTAGAGCTGCGGCTGACCATCAGAGCACCACTAGCGAATCATTCGACTGCATACAGGAGTTCCTCTGTCCGCACACGATATTCTAGCTGGGCGCCGTGACTCTTCCGCTGGGAGATTGTTGTCTGGCTTAGGAGCAACACTACACGGTTGCGGCGTCGGGTAAAGACTGCAGAGGAAGAGTTACCATTCACACAAGGTCCCTCTTCTTCACGTGCGCCGACATGTCTTCGATCAGAAAGAAGAGGAATTTCAAGGGCTTAGCGCTGGCAGAATCACCGCTCTCTACGCCCTCGCCAGGACAGGCTTCAGGCTCCTCGGGTCCCTCAGCAGGCCTGGTGTCATCTCAAGCGGTCAAAGCTAGAGGATTGCCAGGTGTGGGACTGGGTGCTGGTGCGAGTGCGGAGATCGACCCTTCGAGTGGCGCCAATTATCACAATAAGCTGAGCGAACAGCTTGCGAACTTAGAGTTGGGAATAGAGTACAAGCTTGACCTTAAGAATGAGGACTTGAAACATCTGTCAGACTTGGGCAGCGGGAATAGTGGAACAGTCTCAAAGGTGAGTCTTGCTTAGTGTGAAAGCGCTGGTGCCTCCTTCTCCGTCTAGACGAGGGCCGCTTCTCCTCATAATGACAGGGGATGGGCAATGCAGTGATGTCCAGGCCGGGCCCCAAGATCTGCGGCAGTATTCAACAGCGTCACGACCAGACTAACGCAGCGCTTCAGATCTCGATGCTAAGCCCGAAATTCACGCTCTTTGCTTCATCCAGGTCTTGCACGAAAAGTCAGCAACAACGATGGCAAAAAAGGTGTGTAGACTGAGTCTGCGAGCTCGAGCTCTCAACGTCACGTAGCCTGACACGATCGCTGCCCTGCCAGGTGGTGTTCATCGATGCGAAGCCAACGGTGCGGAAACAAATATTGAGAGAATTACAGATATTGCACGAGTGCAACTCAAAATACATCGTCAGCTTCTACGGAGCTTACTTGAGCGAACCGCACATATGCATGTGCATGGAATTTATGGACAAGACGTGAGCATATGGGCAAGCTATCCAATTGCAGCGCCACGGCGCTTGGCTCACACGCTGCATACATTGGCCACCAATACAGCTCGCTGGACAACATATACAAGAAGTGGGGTCCTGTGCCGGTGGATGTGCTCGGGAAGGTGATTGTGGTAGTCGTTCATGGCCTCACGTATCTTTACGACGTGCACCGCATCATTCACAGGGGTGAGTCTGGCCACAGAGGCGTGGAGATTGTGCGTGGATGCTGACGCTGAGCATCTTCTGTAGATGTCAAGCCCTCCAACATTCTCGTCAATGGCCAAGGTCAAATCAAGATTTGCGATTTTGGTGTCTCTGGCGAGCTGATCAATTCGATTGCGGACACATTCGTAGGCACGAGCACGTACATGAGCGTGAGTGGCTGTGGGCAATTTTAACTGGGGAAAGGATTCCGAAGGCTGACCATGTGTGGTCCATAGCCGGAACGAATTCAAGGTGATCAGTACAGCGTCAAATCCGACGTCTGGTCTCTCGGGATCTCGGTCATCGAGCTGGCACTAGGCAGATTTCCCTTCGCAAATCCTGCCGAAGACTCGGATGACGAGATTCCGGAGGAATTGCGGGGGACGTTGTCTCCTACGAAGCCGGACGGATTGTCTCAAGCAGCATCGAGACCCAAAAGGACAGACGGAGGAGCGAGGGCAGGCGTGTCACTGGAGGGATCGGGTGCGCAGATGTCCATCCTGGACCTGCTGCAGCACATTGTCAACGAACCTCCGCCGCGTTTGCCGGAGGATTCGAAATTTCCAAAGGCCATGCATGAATGCATCGATCTGTGCTTGATCAAGGACCCGTCGGCAAGACCCTCCCCAAAAGATCTGACGGTTCATCCATACGTCAAGGAGAGCGAGGAGACAAAGGTGGACCTGAAGGCATGGGTAGACACGCTCGTGTAGAGCCACCAGCATCCCCTGCGATACTCTTCATCAGCTGTGACTACACACGCAGACAAGCCTCCTTGGCATTCTCAGTTCGACGCTTCACCTCTCGGCTTTCCCCCACTCTTTCTCTGTCCTGGTGTTCTTGTTACCGGTCCCCCACCCAATCATTACATTTCGTCCTCCCTTTCGCTCAGGGAACGTGGCATGTGCTTGCTGAGATGTTACAAGTGTCTCGCCTGTTCAGCAAAAATGCGCCTGGTGAAGTCAAGGCGTAGTCGCGAGGCGTCATGGTCTACATCGTAGCTCCGGAACTACGCCAGTCACCACAGGGCCCGCCGTACGCAGTTCACTTGCGACGGTTGCATCTATCTCGTAATTCTCGCTGGGCACCATAGAGCAGCCACTGGCGCGACGGTGCAAGAGGTACGAAGTGAGTAGACACCAAGCAGAATGACAGGATATTCAGCGCCGTACGGTCTCATGGACTTTCGTGACCATCGCTCGATCTGCTTTGCTGCATGTCGAGAGTTGAGACGTGACTTTTGAACCGAGCACTCGTGACTCGTGACTCGTGACTCGTGACGTGCTACTCGAGTCACACGTCAGCTTGATTTGCCTGCCTCAATTGACCCTCACCCATGCTCGACCTCGCTAATCTTTGAATCGTGATACATAAACAGTCAATCTGAATAATGTGAATGCATCAGCAGGGAAGACCCTCGCAAGCCTTGGACCTCCTCATGCATGTTGGCGCATTCAACAGCGCCACACAATCACACTTGCACCGCACCAGCAGAGATTCACGATTGCTAAAGTCATGCAGAAGCAAGGGGGGCGAGCGAGCGGACGGGCGGGCGGGCGATGCTGCATATGCTGCATGCTGCTGCCTGTTGCCTGCGTGCAGTCAAGAGTCATCAGCACCAGTTTCGAGTGAGTGGTTCTGGCGCTGCTCTGTTGCCCCTGCGCGCATGTATGCATGATGGCTCCTGCACTCTTGGTGGACGCACAGGCCTGGCAACGGTTGTAGTTGCATGTATAGAGAGAGGCACGTTGGTGACTGACAGAGACGTCAGGCAGACTTGCTCCAGCATCTTTCTTGATGCAGCACCACGATCACTCTACCCAAGCGAGCCTTGTTCAACATGCAATTCCCGCAGCCCCAAGTGCCAGGCCAGGACGGCCAAGGCGGCTACCAGCATCAAGCACCTTACCTACCCGCCGGATCTAACGCCCCGTACCCACCTCCAACTGCCCCCAGCGGTGGCTATCCATCTTACGCTCCTCCTTCCTATGACCAACCTGGTCAGTCACAAAGCTCCCGCCCACCTCCCCGAGCTCCTCAAAGGCGCACGACGATCGACGATCGTGGGCCCGTCAATATCGACCCTACGACCAAGCCGGCCCCTTCTACCGACGAAGACTCAGCCGTAGACGCATCGCTTGGGAAGCTGGAGCTCGAGGCTTCTCAATATGTCAAACCTCCAGCTTACTTTAGTGGCAAGACTGTTTTCGATGATGGCATTTTCAGGTCCGTCGATGCTGCTGGCAAGTGGCCGCCGACGACGAACGGAGAAGCTCTGGAGCCGACGTTGAAATCTTGGTTGACGCAGATGGGCGAGCACCTCAAGCACAATCCGCAACACATCTACACGCTCACGCACAAGGACGTATTTGCTCTGAAGGACTCTGACCTGTTAGATTACAAGCTTTTGGTCCAGATGGGTCTTCGCAGCTGGTACACTGCATTCTTTCACGAAGAAGAGCGCAAAAAGTGGCAGAATCAGCTCGAGGAGTTGCAAGCCGAGACACTTCCTCGTGTCGAGGGCCAGAGCGATGAGCTGAATCAAGACGCTCTGGATTGGAACAGCTGGAACATGGCCTTCAGATACTCTTTTAGTGCCAAGTTTAAAGGTGGAAAGGGGGTAGACTTGTTCAAAGGCTCGCCAATCTCGGAAATGGGCAAACCTTTGTGGAAGTGGAAGCAGAAAGACTTTGCCGCAAGGGAACAAGAAGGAGAGAAGAGAGAGGTTCAGATGGTGTTTCGAAGAGAAACGCTACGAGACGAGCTGAAGTTTCCGTGGAAGGGCAAGCAGTATGTTTGGGAGTCCAATCAGCATCACGTGAGTTGCTCAGATGCTCCTCTTCCAGCGCCGCAAGAGGCTGAAAGGAAGGCATATCGTGCATACAAGCGCTCTTTTGCAGGAGCTAGGTGGGACGCTACGACCATCGGCTTGTACGAGGAGAGTCCTCGTAGACTGTGAGTGGATTGCAACCAATTGCATATTTGTATGCCTCTGAAGCGCTTTGCATCCGTTAGGGTGGGCTGGTTCCGGTTCCTGGAAGAAAAGGCTGCTCGCGAGAAGGACTACACCCTAGATATACTTGACCCTACATTGGACCAAGCCATTGTGTTTGTCACATTTTCGGCGTGAGTCGTCAATTCTGATTTCAGACTGTGTGAAGCTCTTTGGTGCTGAGCCACAGCACCACTTTCGCTTCACAGATTCTGGCGTCAGGCGTGGGAATGGATGACACATGGCTACGCTACCTCAACTGTCACTGCCACGCTTCCCACTTATAAGAAGTTGTTGGATGATCCTGGAGCCAAGCATACTGTGAGTGCGACCGGCCTCGGTATCGAGCTAGCTATTTGCTCGCTTTTCAATCCTACTCAAAGCGCTCACTCGGATCAACGACACTTCTTCGTGCCTAGTACGGCATCTTGACGCTGGAGAAGTACCACGAGGCGGAGGAGATTGCAAAGCAGGAATCCTTGCCATCGAAGCAAGGCGATAACGGAGCTGCGGCCATCAATGCCGTGACAGCGTCTATCGTATCCAGCTTCTGAAGCGGCGGCTTGGATGCGCGTAGCCATAGAGCGAACATCTCAAGACCTATTTGTACCATAATTCTGTGCTGCCTCAGGCATCAGTCAGCGTCCATGCGATACTTCAGTGTCTGTCGTCCGCCGGCGGACTCCCGCTCTGCGCAAATCCTCGGTTCCCTCGATAGCCATGCTGAGCAGCTGCCCATCGCGTTCGATCGCGCCTGGCTGTATGAGTGTGTCATCGAGAAGCGATTTGGAGGTAGTGGGGCGAGTGAGGGTCATGATGCTTGGGTACATCTTTCGTCCACCGAACATCGATCCTTGGGTTGTTGAAACCTTTTCAAGCCATCGCCACGTGACCTAGACTGCTTCACACGCTTTGATACCTCCACTTGAATCACAATGTTGACTTGTCTGACGCTGGCGCGCGTGCACGCAAGCGTGGACCCTGACCTGACCGCATCTGAAGAATCTGAAGAATCTGTCATACACCGAAGAACGACAGGTGGCGGCTACTGCCCGAATGAGTCCAGGTGTTGGCTGTGACTGCGGCCAGAGACTCTAAAAACTTCCCTGCTCCTGCATAGCTCCAGGAGCGACGGTGTGGGAGGCTGACAGCGATAAAGCCATCGACTGGGTCAACGACGTCAAGGAGAGCAAAGCGCGGGTCCACGGGCCCATGCAACGACGGTGAGATGTGCCCGCGGATGAAGCGCGTCAAGGCTGCTTCGCTGCATGCATGCACAGCAGACGCATCGCAAAGGCAAGCTGACCTCAGCAGAGTCCACCCAAATGCCCTCCTCGAATGTTTGAACCGCTGGTGACGTTGTAACTGCCAAAGCTCCAGAGTCACAATTTAGATTTGCGGGCATGTCATGTGCGTTGTGATCTCCACCTGTGCGCCCAAAGAGGGTGGGTAGGTAGGCACTTGCACTTGCTGTCATACCAACCCTGTGTCTCTTCATGTCGAACCTCTCCCTCACCATCAGTCCTGAACTTTGACATCTCCCTCCGTGTCGCATTCACGCAGCTCAAAGACGGATTCTGAGCACCTTTTCGACGTGCTTCCAGCTTCGTCAAAATAAGCACCAGATCCACCATGTCGCTCGCAGTAATTCTAGGTTCCTCTCGAGGCCTAGGACTGAACCTAGCACGAGGCCATCTTCTTCGCTCCTCGCTCAACGTAGTCTGCACCAGTCGAACGCCCGACGAGGCGCGCGAAGCCATTCTCAAAGATCTCCCCTCGGATGCCAAGGACAGGTTGACCACTTTGAAAGCCGATGTGACCAAAGAGGCCAGCTTCGAAGAGCTGGCTGGACAGATCAAGGAGATGGGAGAAATCAGAAGCCTTTGGAATGTCGCTGGTATCGTGAGTGATTGAGGTGGTCAGCACAGTAAGACCGCCATCGCTTTGATCTTGAAAGCGAATCTGATGCATCAGTATTGCCCCTGCCCTCCTCTTTCCCGCGCATACAGCTGAGACCGGAGAAGAATTTGGCCCAGGTCGGTTATGACGAGATGCTGCGCCAATTTCAGTGAGTCTTTCAATAGGCGCAAGATGAAGGTGTCGAATTTGTCGAGCACGATGCTGACTCGGCCTCTCTGTCCCATGCGGCGCCAGAATCAACACTTTCGCCCCTCTGCTCGCCATGAAGCACTTGGTCCCTCTTCTACCCAAGCAGATCAGCAGAGGCGGGGAGCGCAAGCCTGGTGCTCCAGCAGGCACCGACTCTGCATCAGACGTGGCTCCTAACGGTCTAGCGCTCATTGCCAGCCTTTCGGCAAGGGTAGGAAGCATCGAAGATAATGGAAGAGGAGGCTGGTACTCTTATAGAGCCAGCAAGGCCGCACAGAACCAAATCACTAGGACTCTGGCCAGAGAGTTGACACTTCGAAAAGTGCCTGCCATTTCCGTGAGTGTCTCTGTTCGTTCTTCTTCGCTCCCCCGCCGACGGCACCCGCTGCTCGGCTCTCCTTGGGGGTTACAGCCGCTGACGCATGTCTAAGCACTCGCCCGCTACAAAACAGATTGGCCTCCATCCAGGCACAGTGAGGTCCGAGCTGAGCAAAGAGTTCACAGGAGGTCCAGGAGGCAAGGACGGTAAGGCTCCAGGTCCTGGAGAGTTCGAGGCCCCTGACGCGGCAGAGAACCTGCTCAACGTGGTTCGAGGCCTCACCGTCGAAGACAGCGGCGGTTTTCGAGACTGGGAGGGTAAAAAGGTGCCTTTTTAAGTGGATCATCCGAAGTCCTACTACAAAATATGTAGACAACTCGAGCAGATGCGCATCGCGAGCGACATGTCACACCCTGCATGCAGCACACGTTCGTGACGCAATTGTGTATTATGACGAGAAAGGGGTGTGTCGCGTGTACGATGCGGAGGTATACTGACGTTCTTTATATACGTCTGATTTGTCAAGTACGCGAGGGAGATGTTGGAAGAGAGATTGGTTAGCTAGCGTCAGAGTCGAAAAATGCGTTGCCGACAAAGGGTTCGGGGCGTAGTCACTGCAGAAAAGTGATGCTGGGCTAGACGTCAATCCTAATCTGCGAGCGTGGGGCAGGTGAAGGGTGAAAGCGCCAACAAAAGGGGTGCGCATTGAGCGAACGGCACAAGCTGCACCGGCAGACAAAGCGGCAAGGGGGGAACGAACGCCTGGCAAACGGGTAAAGTTGCGCGCGGCAGATGACCGCTGCTGTCGAAGCGATGCATTGGTGGAGAGCGGGTTCCGCTTAGCCGCGAGTCCAGTTCTGAGGACCAGCATCGGTCTTGGGCAGGCCAGTCGTGTATCCGTGCGGAGAGAGATGACTTTGACGGTGAAGGTCAGTGGCGCTCATGCCGCCCGCAGCCACCGACCATTGGTTGCCAAGGTTGAGTCCTAGACTGTGCTGAGCAGCGTCTTGATCGTAGGGAAGCAAGTGAGCTTGTCCGCTCCCGCGCGCCTGATGTTGAGGCTGACCGACGTTGCCGGAATGTTGGGCTTGGTGCGAAGACATGCCGCTGCTCGTCTGACCGTGCGACTGTTGTTGCTGCTGCTGCTCGAAGCTGAAACCCCAAGTGGTCGGCGATTGAGGTGGAAGACCGTATTGCATGCTTGCGTGGGGCGAAAGATGGGTCTGATGAGCATTGTTGATGGCCTGCGTGTTGGTCGAAAAATCGTAGGATGTCGTCGTCGGCGAATAGTAGGGAAGACCAGGCAATCCATACCCGCCGACCAGAGGGCTGCTGTGCGGTCCACCGCTCATCATTCCCATCCCACCGTTGCCAGCTTGGTGGAGCATATGATGGGAGGAAAGGGCACTACGAGCGTACTCTCCAACGTGCGAGTCGTGACTGTACTGATCGCTGCTGCTGCTCCCGCTTCCTTGCCTGGACATGGATTCGCCCACGGCTGCCGAAGCAGCTGCAGCTGCATTTCTTCGAGAAGTAGAAGAGGCCGTGCTGCGCTTACGCTTGCCCGATGCGCTCGGCTCTCGAGGCATCTGCTCCCCACCCTTCTTGCGCTCTGCCGGCACGTCCCCAGCAAGTCCATCCGCGCCGTAGTCGTCGGACTCTAGACATCTTCGGATGAGGTCCTTGCCCGTCGTTTCTTTGACTACGGGCGCTAGCTTGGGAGTAGTGAAGGTGTACACCAAGCCAGTTTGAGACACAACAAGCAGCAAAATCTGCGTGCCGGTAAGCGTGGCAAGTTCGTACGCCTGTCGGGGGGCAACAGGGATGACACGGGAAAAGTCGCGCATGTGAGCATGAGAAAGCGCAGACGTCCCAGGGCACCGATGGGCGAGATCGATGATCTGCATGCGGTCGCGTTCCGCGCTAATGGGTGCGCGGCTCAACTGACCTTTTTCATGATGCCTGCCTTTCTCTTGCTAAAGGTGATGTGCCTTCTGCTATCGTCTTCGATGAATTCGATGCGGATCTTGCGTCGTCCAGTCGTGCTATCTGCTTCGCCCTTACCGTCGCCTTGCGATCCAGACGCACCACCGTTTCCAGCCTTTGCGCGCTTGCCGCGTCTTTTTTTGCCGCCGCCCTCTTCGTCCGAGTCGTCTCCATCCTCATCACCGGATCCGGTCTCGAAAATGCCGAGATCTGCATCGTCGTCATCATCTACCGTTTTAGCGTGTGTCGCATTGCTCGGTCCGCCGTCTGTAGTCATGCCAGCTAGCTCTGCAAGTCCAGCAGGGTCTGCGCGCGTGAGGGTCCCATACTGCGTGCGAAACACGTTCGCGTTGGCTCCTCCCGCATTGAGCGCGCTCGAGCTGGCGGAAGCCATCCGAGGAGTGGTGGAAGCAGACGCAGAGATGATGGATGCGGTAGACAATAGGGATGGGTCCATGTGCGCACCGCTGTATTGAGCGCTGGAGCCGAACAACCCCGGCTCCGAGGGATGGGAGAGAGCGATGGTGGAAGACGTGTTGGGCGATGGGCCCGCTTCGATCGCTCGAAGCGGTTCGTCGGACTGGGGCAAAGGAGCAACTCTCTTTGTGGGCCAAGCTAAATGCGGTGCTGCTCGCCGCTTGTGGTCTCGGGGATGGTGAAAATGTTGCAGAGATACGAAGGTGGAGCGTTGTGAAGCGGAAGGAGTTCAAGAGACGACGGGGGAAGGAGATGAGTGGAAGAGCGAAGGATGTGGTGAAATGGTGTTGAAAGGGCAGTGCGAAGCAATTTGGAGACAACGAGGAAAGCGCCACCAGCTTTTGCGCTCAGCTTGCTTGGGGTTTGCAAACAGTTCTGATCACGCCGTTGAGAGATAGTAGGCTAAGGGAATTAGGGGCGACGACCGTTGAAGCATCTTCGATGATGCTCACAAGGGCCCAAGAGCTAGACTAGAGCTCGCTCTACTTTACCGTCACTTGGCCAGCATCAGCGGTCAAGATGGCTCTGCTGACGGATGGACGGTAAGTGTGACAGAGTGCTTGCAAACGTGACGCGGTCTCTCCGTTTGGCTCTTGCGCTCTGAACACCCGCACGTCGAACCTTTGACGACCGCACTGATGGCATGATGGCAAACAACGACGCATACAGGGGCTTCATGCCTGCTTGAGACCGGAGGCATTACGCTTTGCTCGTAACACGACGGATGGGCGGATCAAGACCATCAAGCGACGCTGTGCGGTAGGATGCGCTGCGATGAGAGGGAGCGTTGGACATGTCTGCCGTAGCCGTGGCCTTGGCTTATCAGCCGTGGATGCAATTGTGAGTCGTGAGTTACGCAGGCCTGCCCTGCCTGACCGCGTTAGAGGTTGCGTGTCGCGCGGCGAAAGCATGTGGAATGGGAAGAGCAGACGGGGAATGCAGCAAGCATCGCGGCTGCCTGCTGCTCGCCATGCAGCTGCTTGCTTGCCCGCGGCTGCTGCTGACGTTCATCGTTATGAGCGCATGCAGCAGCATGCTTCAGAGAACACAAGACTCAAACTTTGCCAGGTTTTGCTGCTGCTGCTGCTGCTGCTGCTGCTGCTGTGAGCGCGTCCGCGCCGCGTATGCATCGCAGCAGGGCCATAGCCGCTACGCGACCTGTGTACAGCTGCGCGCCGTCTGTCGTGGCCACCCGGTTACTTGACCTTTGACTTCGCATGTTTTTGCTTTCTGAGACCTGCTCGCTTTCGATTCGAGACCATTAATCCTCACGACTCTGCATGGTGGCTCCTCTTCTCACGTGTAAGCTTTAAGCTTTGGGCATCGAAACCGCTGACGATCTGGGTCATGGGCAGTTCTTAGCCTTGGGTCGTCAGGAAGCTCCGCATGCTCAGAGCTTTCTTCTCTCGTCGTATTCCTCACCACTGTCCAAACCTTTTCGATATGTGTTCACGGTTGACGCTGCGTGCGACAACCTCCGCGTTGCTGCTTGCTGTCTATGCTTGTGCTGTTGCTGTTGCATGGCTCGGCGGGTTGACTTGCCTCGTACATCGTGCTGCGTGCTCGACAGCATTCAGCACCGGCTCGCAGCGTGCGGGCCCGTCAGGTCACCGCGGATATACAAGTAGACGCTGTCTGGCACGCGCATATATACGGATGTTTCGCTCTCCGTACACGGGCGTTGCGAGATCTGGCTGGCGCACGCAAAAACTACAGATTGAGGGCGTTGGAAGCTGTCCTGAATTGCTGACAGAAGCTACGTCGCTCACCATCGCGAAATCAAGTCGATCGAAATTGCGACCTAGAGAGCCTTTCTTGATTAGTTGTGATTCGTGATTGCAGTTTGTGATTCGTGATTGCAGTCAAAGTTAAAGTCATGCGCATAGTCATACTTACTGATACGTCCTTGAGCGCAATTAAGCCACTCGCGAGAGAAAGCAGCACGATCATGCGGCCTCCACGGTGGAAACAACACCAGACGCAGGCACGCGTATCAACACGCGCTGAGCTCACCGCACGTGATAGTAAAGTAAGTGTTTCACCATGGCTAACGCGCCTATAACACGACTTGATTCAATTCAAAATTGATTGACTTGTGACTATCAAGTCCAAATTCCGCTTTTTGACTCACCGGATAACCGGCGCTCCTTCTTCGAAGCATCGTGTGGCAAAGTGAACAACAGAACAGGTCATCAAAACAAGACCTGTTCCGGGGAGTTGCTCATGCCGACATATTGCACGTACTTTTGTACGCTAATTTGAATTCGTGAATGGTGAATGAGCAATCATGCCAGCCTTTTCGTACTCCATGCCTGATTCACTATTGTGAGCAAGTGATGTGTGCAGCTGTTGTGCATTTTCGCACACCATGCCAGCTGCATACATACATCTCCAATAGAAACGCCCGGCCACCGGCCAACTTCGCTGTGCCACGTGCATATGTAAGCGCTTGCGCTACATCCACAATTGACTCGCATCTGTATGAGAGGCGCATCGGGCTCCAAAATCAGATTCATGCCGAGATCTGCTGCCACTTGCTGTCTTGCTCATAAGCTTTGTATCACTACCGCCACCCTTTGCACATTATGATATGTCCTCCTGATAAACCCAACTGATCCCGACACTAGCCTTCGATGTCCGTACGTCGACCCAAATGTTGGAGCTCCAAGCTGGCTTGCGTGGAGCCAAGTTGCAAAGGGGCAGAAGACGCTGCTGCATGGGGAAAGGACTGTATCTAGGTCGCTGTAGCGCCAATGCACAGTAGCTCCAGCAAATCACGAAGATGTGGCAGCATCGCAGCAATTGAGTGTGAGTCTCTCGTTCTGCGCTTAGCATCCAGGTGGGGCAATCACCAGCATGATGAAGTATTTTGCGGATGTAAAAGGGTTCATCGCACATGCGAGAGCCCCGTTTACCGAGAGCGCATAAAAATCGTGTGGATCTTTCCGCTGCCTTCCTTCTGATTTGGTGATGGCGAAGTTTAGACGTGGCTCCGCAGGGGAGCGGCAGCACCACTTGAGCATGCAACAATTGTGAGCTTGCGCTGATTCGTCTTGCCCTGCACTACACCAGAATCTCGCCCGTATCCCCTCGACTCTTGACGTGAACACTGTTCACAAGTTCCAGAGACTTTTTGTTTGAACATTCACGACTGGTGAGTGATGCATTGCGTTTCGCACCCAGAAATCTGTACATAGCTCTTGCCCTCCTGTGCAAGAGGTGGGCGGCTGTGTCATCCATTCAAATTGCTTTGCCCAACGTCTTGGACTTCGCTCGGCGATGCGCGCAAGTATTCGTGATACATCATCGGATTTGGGCACATGTATCTTATACTCATGCCGAATGACGCTGTGTCAGTATCTCCTAAGTCTACGAGCAAGCATTTCGACGAATCTATCGAGCACGAATGCGCTCGTGACTGCCATGCAGCACTGCGACGCAGCGGTCGAGCATCAGCGCATCTTGACATAGCATTCACGATTGCGACCACACAGGCACGAAGCTAAGTGCTTCGCCAAGCTCAGCAACACGGAGCCCTGGTTACGGCTGTCTTCGCTGTGTTCAGCCTATCTTCGATCGAACCTTTTGAGTTTGAATTACGAATAGAGTCGAGGGTATATCGCGGAGTAAACCTATAAAGGAAGAGAGGGCGACTTCTTGGTCTCCGCTGGCTAGGACGCAACTCTCGTACGAGAAGAAGAACGCATTCGCAGAGCAGTGTCACGTGTTTCGCCTTGTCGAGTTCTTGGTTCATGAATTCAGTGAATTTGAATCTGAAATGCGTGCAGCTGTCGTTCAGCACATCCGAACGTTCGACTGTAGACTTCTGCTATATCCCAAGGTCTCCAGCAACGAGTTCCCATCACGTAGCTTTTCGAGAGCAAGCTGACAAACGGAGCATACGACACTCATCCGTCTGCTACGTCGCCTCGGTCGATGCTGCGAACCGGCTTCCTCCCAGCAACGCGATGCCCGCTCACAGCTTGCAATGCGCTTCCGATCGATCGCAATGCCGTCGTGCCTGGAGGGAGCCGCAGAGGTAGCACGGCGCACCGCATTGCTTTCCTTCTGTCTCAGAAGGTGTCGAATGCAGTGCCAGCGTGTTGTGGCAGCTTCGCGTCCGCACATCCACCTACACACGCACGAGGCGTGGCCACCCGAGCCCCGCTATACTTCAATCCGACTCGACCGGACTTTTTGCCTACAAACCGCAACGGCGGGACCAATGCAGGACAAGCTCACAACAGAAGTAGCGCCTCCACGTGCAACACTGTAGCGACTGTCAAGAAAACTCGCTCTTGGCTCTCCTCCACTCCCCCGCCCAATTTGGTCCCCAGCCGCTTCAGCCCATCTCAGCCCCCCCTTCCCGAAGACGGCCCGCTATGGACGCCTAGAGGGGTCAAATCACATCGTGCCATTCACCAGATGCTCGAATCTCGTGACAGTGACTGGTACAAAGCAGCTTGGAATGTCTGGAACGATTTGCCAGTAGGACAGCGCATCTTGCCTGCCCCGCTGTTTACCCGACTCTTCTGGGCTTGCTCGCGCACACATCCCGGGGGAAGACCGCGTCTATCTTCAGACAGGCCTCAGAGCATTGCGAGCGGCCGCTCTGACCATGTGCGCGAGGAAGCGGCTGACTTACGTGAAGCACTTGCTCATCTGAAGCGGCTAGATGCGCTGGCTAGATACGGCAAGGAAGCTCACCGACGACTGCACATCACCGAGCTGCACGCGCTCTTACACGCACATCTGCTTCCCCGCCAGCTTCTCAGGGCCACCTTGAATGAAATAGAGCGGCACGAAGTTTACAAGCTCGACTCGCCCAGAATCATCGACCTGCTCGCGCAGCATCCTCACTTCGTGCTAGAGTGGAAACTTCATCGCGAGGTATTGATGGGGCTGATATGGTCACACGGTTGGGACGATGACATTGCAAAGCTGGTCCGACGATTGACGCTTCGAGGTTGGAGCGATGGCAAGAGGAGCTTTCATAGGGCGCTGATGGATGTCATCATGCAGAGTCCGGCTGTCAGGGACAAGTTGAGCGCGCAAGAGGAGGCTATCAGTATTGCCATGCGGATGGGACCAGTGGCCTTGCCGCCCAGCGATATCGTAGCAGGCGTCTTTCAACAATGGTCTACGCCCGAGCTGCTGGCCTTCCGCAATCTGGAAGCGAGCAGAACCTCGAGATCATGCGCGTTCAATCCAGCTCACCACGAAGCGCTGCGTCCCCACGCGGTGCTGGAGCTTCTCGTGCGGGAGGATGCCGTATCAGACGTGTCGAGGCGAGCGGAGCGAATGCTCCAACAACGTCTCAGCAGCATACCGCTAGGTCTGCCGCAGGAGCTAGACTACTCAGCGTACTCTCAAGAAGTCAATCGAGATGCCCGTATATCCTTGGGGGATAGCGCGTCGGAGTCAGGTCATGCAAAGGACACAACGTCTTTGGCCAGACCCCCGAGCTCCGGTAAATTCTGGCGTGCCGACTTTAGCTCGCTAGGAAGCGACAGCGACGTTGCCCTCCAGTCCTTCGTAGGTTGGGACCCACACGTCAAATTGGGATACGCCATCTCTCGCACACATGCCCTGCGTGCCCTCGCGGCGTGCAAAAGCGCACGAGACGCCAGACCGGCACTGCTTGAAGCGGTCGAGCTCTTTACACGACTGCCTCGCTCGAGCTCTGTACACGCAGCGCGGGCGCTTGATGCGCTTCTAGGCGCATTCGACGCCTTGATCAGCTCAGCGGAGCAAGTTCCATCGGTTGTCCTCTGCGAGGTCAGGAGGGTCGACAACATTACACGAGGCGCTATCGCCGAGGTCGCTCACAAGCTCGTCGCCGTCGACTCTCAACTGAGGTATTTGCCATTGGAACAGCATCTGCGCCTCCTCCAGCACCTTGTTGTGTGCGCGCACGCTTCCCTTGCCAGCACATTTTGGTCGCCCTTGAATGCCAAGACCTTGGATGGCAGGAGGGACTCTCTGACGGCGCGAAGCGCTTCGAGCGCCTTGCCTGAATCTTACGTGAGAGACTTGCTCGCCATGGCATTGTGGCGGTTGCCATCTCCCAAAGGCGGCTACGAACTGGTGCCCAGGTGGAATGAAGCAGCCCCACACATCGAGCTGGCCCTGGAGGTGTTTCGCGTGCACGGCGCTAAGCTTGCGCTACCCACAATCTTGATCGTGCGTCTGGTGCGGGAACTTTTGACGTCTCACAAGACGGGCGCACAGGCCATGGAGGTGTTGGAGCATCTTTCAGATCTTGACATCCCGCTAAATCCCGGTCTAGCGAGAGGGATTGTTCAGGCATTCGCAGAAGCAGGAGATATGTGGGCAGACCAAGCTCTAAGCATCGCCGAGGCCTTCTGGAAAGCTCTTCTTGAAAAACAGTCTCACCGGGATCCCGCGCTCGCTCTGAGCATGCTGGCTTATGCGATCGACGCTGGTGGTCGCTCGTTCGTGGGTTGGTCACCGACGCGGCGCAAGCGCGTGCTTGGTCTCTTCACCATTTTTCGCCAGCAGCTGGACATTTCCATCAAGAGTTCCAATCGACAAGGCAGTCTTGCTCCCGAGAATCTGCGCCTAGACGCGTTTCCGCAGCTGCTCGACTTCAAATTTTTCCACGTCGACAAGTCTGGTCGAATTGAGTCTCTGATAGAGCAGCGGATGAAAGAAGGAACACTTCAAAGCTACCCGATCAGCCGGTCTATCGTTCGGCTGGCCTACAATGGCGCAGCGCGGGCCGTGCTAGCGGAGCCAGCATACGAGCTCGGACTTGCTGGCGTGCAACTCGAACCTCTGCCTGATGACTTTTTGTCTCCGCCTCTCACACCGGAAAAACCGTCTCGCGGCGCTTCGCACAAGATCCCCGACTCGGTCGATCCCACTCTCTCCAAAATTTTCTCCGAGCTCGAGGATGACCTTGGGGTGCAGCTCGACTCTCGAGCCTGGGGCTTGCTCATCGTCGCTTGGCTGTTGCCGTACCAAAAGCCCAAGCAAGCGGGACACGCCCGTTTGCGACCGCCCTCGTGGCCGGAAATGGGTCTAGAGGAGGCGGCCGTGTTCGACTTCGTCCGGGACGACTTTTTGAACGAAGCGATGACCCTATTTGACGCTGCCAAGGATGCTCGGTATGAGAGGGGCGGTATGCTCAGCCTGCCGCTCAACGCTACGACCACGCCATCAGCCGAAGCCGCGCCGGTTCTGCTCAAGAGTGGCCACGTGGGAAGGCTCATTGTAGCTCTGGCTCGGGCTGAGCGTTTCGAAGACGCTTGGCGGGTCTATGATGACTTTTACGCACATTACGCTCCGCCCGCTTGGAAGGGAAAGCGCCGGGGTACGCAACGAAGTGGAAGCACATACGGCTGGACCTACGGAGTAGATGGCGCTCGGGCCTACCTCTTAGCAAGATCTGGTCAAAAGATCTCTTCCATCTCTGGTTTGATGAGGCTTCCTTCGCATCGCATCGGGGCGAGATGGCGACAGGAAGTACTCGCAGCTCAAGCCCTGGCAGAGCGGAAAGGTATCCGCTTTGTCAGAAAGCAGAAAGCAGAGTCCTAGCGGCAGCAGCAATCCCCGCAGCGTGTTCGCATAGCTTTCACAGAATGTCACCTTCGATTTCGTCTTGTACATTACACTCAAGACTGGTCCGCCTTTCTCACTAATGTGAATGTACTTGTTCGGAGATGCGCACATCCGGGAAGCCTTTGTCGGTCCAGACTTCTTCCTATTGCCGAGCGATCTTTGTTCGGAAGCACAAGTGCGTTCGACTTAGATTAGTTCTCGGCAAGGCCGAGTCCCTTGACGCTGACTAAGAAGTGCTTCGAGGAAGTGCGCGGCACTTGTATATGTATTTGCAGAGCGAGCCGCACCAGGCGCGCTGCAAGCAGTTGGAGTAGGAGGCAGTGAACATGCGCTTCATCCGTAAGGAACTGTAAAGTGGAACTTTGGTTGACCGTGCTTGCTTCAAAGTGGGGACGATAGAGGCTAAGCGTGCATTGCATTGCTTAGCACTGCGTGCGCTTGCAGATCTGCATGGTGCAGAGTCGAATCTCCTGCCTCTATTCACGATTGGCAACTCAAATGACTCCTCCCACGCGGGATCGACCGAGCGATGTCTCCTGATGCCGGGCGGATCGGCGGGTCAAGCGGTGAGGGGAAATGCAGTCGAGAAGAATGAATCCGGGATCTTTTCAGATGAAAGTTGCCCCGCGAAACCGTGCCCTCGCCAAAAGCCCAATGGCCGGAGTCTGGTGACGGACGAGCGCAAATCCGAACGGAGTGCGAATGGACGAGGTCATTGCACAGGTTCACGATTTGGCGAACCATTGGTACGCTCACGTTATCAGACGCAAGCGCTGAAGGTGGATCTCAGAGCTCGGCGGTCACGAACGAGGTAAAGCTTTGCAAAGCTGTGCATATAGCAAAGATACTGCGTAAAGTCAAAGGGATGGGATGCCCTTGCAGTTGCTATTTGTCTCAGCCCAACTCGTGACTCTCGAAGAGATTTTTCGATGTCACGGCCACGTTGAGGTCCCCTTCCTCACGCAGCATGATTTCAAAAGGACGCTAGCGCATGCGTATGGAAGTAGGTACGACACACAGCGCAGCGTGCGCACGGCCACGCAGCCGCGAGGTTGCGCTCAGCGCTGCGCCCGTTGCTTTCGTTCAGACTTCTCTCAAAGAAGGGGCCGTAGAAGGTTCAGTTGCATTTGCGCCTACGACGCTGCATACTGGAGTCAGGTAGCTGGTAGCTCCTGCTCTTGGAGCCAAATCGGCAGGCACGTTGATGAGGTCGCACAAGGTCACTTTGCGTGCGAAATATCGTGGGGACTCGTGCAGCACGCGGACCTTCTCTTGCCTCATTCCTGCGTGCGCAATCCGTCCTGCTGATGAAAATGCGCTAAGGAGCGGCAGAATAGCTAGGGAAGCGCTCGTCGTGCCTCGTGAGGTGAGGAGCCTTGGTCTCAGACTTCATGCAGTGCTCTTGCTGCGCGACTCAATCAAACACGACGCATGCCAGGAGGACAAGCACGGGAACTGATGGTACATGCATATGAGAGCAAGAGGGCTCACAAATTCGAGCATCATTTGACCGAAGGTCACGATTAGGAGGCTGGCCAAGGGAGATATCGACGTAGCCGCCGGCGTGCTTCAGCAGTCGCTCCCTACACATGTACGAATCCGAATTCGCCATGTTTTTACATTCCACGCCCCCCAAGCAGCTTTCGAGCCCCGACCGACGCTAATGGGTCATGCCGCCAAGCCGCCGCGGGAAAGGAGCGTTCTTTGGGGAAGGTCGATCGTGAGCTCGCTCGGCTCCAGGCTGTCTTTGAAGGGCAACTGAGGACAATAGCTTCGAACGCACGCTACAAGTGCGACTTGAATCGCTATCAACTCCTGACCGCTTGCCCGGCCTTTCTGCTCATCCACTTTCGAGCTCAGCGAAGCTAAGTTGGCGGGACTGTGAGCCTTGAGCAGAAGCCGGATATTGGAAACGATCGTCCTTGTTAGCAAGCGGCGCCGAAGAGGCATGATGCCTTGACAATCTCAGGAGCGGTACAAATGTCATTGAGGATCGGCTCACTTTTGATGATGAGCTCAGACGGCCCAGAATTTGTTTGTTATCCTCTCTCCACTCCGCCGCCGCTAATTTCTTCCAGCATATGAGTAGAACACATCCTCCGGCCCCCTTTGCCAATTAAATACCAGGCGAACTCTACTTGTTTCAGAGATTCGCCCCTTCGAATTTCACTCTCTCCAGCCAACCCACTCTCATTGCATCAACATTCCTTCTGCTTACGCTCCAGCAATATCATGGCTCGTTTCACTTTGGTCGCTCTGGCATTGGCCGGCATCGTGCACACAGGTAGCGCTCTCACCTTGGGGGCTCGATCAGGTACGTATGCGTCACTCTAAGCTCCGGTAAGGGCAACACTGATCCTTGACGATGCCTGCCAGCAGAGACTGAGACCCTCCATCGACGATGGACTCCTACCGGCTCTTCGGACAACTCGAACAAGTGCACTCCCTTGGAACTGATCTGGTTCCGATCCGCTGCTGAATCGCAAGCACGCCTTGGTCTGCTGGGTGACCCCATGTACTCGGAGATCCTCAAGTACGAGCCAAAGGCTAGCGCGTACAATGTCATCTTCAACGAGGCTACCTACGAGGAGACGGTCACCAACTTCCTTGGTGGTCAGGATGCCACGCAGTGGATCAACAAGAGAGCCGCACAGTGCCCGAATCAACGCTACGTCGTCGGAGCATACTCCAAAGGAACGCTTGGAGTGCACCAGATGTTCCCTGCAGCAGACGTCAGGCCACGCGTAGCTGCGACGGTCGTGATCGGAGACGCCATGAGGATCAGACCGTACTTTCCTCCCGCGGCTCTCAACTCTACCTGGCCTTCGAATGGCGAGAGGACCCTCTCCCAGCCGTGCAATTTCAACGATCTCATTTGCTGGCCTGGCGGCACCGACCACGACACCCACCTGTACGGAGGGTACATCGGTCAAATCCCCGCGCTGGCCAAATTCATGATCGATCGCTACCAGGAGAACAAGCGTGCCGTCTTTCCAAACGCCAAGGGCATCATGACGAATCTCAACCAGGTCCTCTCTTCAAAGGATGTTCCCGGCCTGCTGAAGAATGTCGTCAACGTGCTCAATGTCTAGGCGGTGCATGAACGCACGGGACGAGGGCTCAGCATATCGCTGGAACGCCCCTTCATGGACGGTGGCTTGTTGAACCTGGTAACTTTCCTCTTGCGAGTCTACACTCTGCGTCACTCTTTCTCCAAAACTGCGCTCCTCTACTATCTTGTTCCACATTGTAACCCCAATGTCATCACTTTTGCATTTCCACTTGACTCGGCTTTCTTGACGCCGCACCAAACGAATGGATGCCACTTGTGTCACGTGTGGGTGCCAAAGCGAGTGATTTTGGCGCAGCAGGACGGATGCTGCTGGTTGTGCGCAGCCGTGTACAAACGGTCACACGCCGTCAAAGTGCACATGTGCATCGTGAATGAAGAAGATAGCTAGTGCAGCGACGAGGAGGGCCTTTCCCTTCCGCCAAGGTTAGGGTGAGGTTAAAGTGCGAGACAAGTCACGTGGAGAACGGTGAAGCGTCTGTGACTCGTGACTCAAACAAGACGTGCTTCCGGCCAGCCCATGATGCAAGGCGCGCGCCTGATGGTGCAGGCCTCATGACGTCACCGATCGCGGCTGGTAGTGCAGTCGTGAGTCTCGAGTCGCGAGTGCAGCGCATGCTGGCTCCTTCGTTCGCACGTCCCATGACGTTCTTCGACAGCGTTTGCACCTCCAACGCGCCGCACGTCGCCTGGGCGATGAATCTGCGGCGAGTCTACGAGGTTCTAGACTCGATCCTCACCCAGCAGCGTCGGAGCTTAGCGTCCTCTGCGCGTGCATTTGCGAATCGTGAGATCCATCTGTGATTTTGATGCCGAATACTCACTCACACTAGATTCGACGAGGTGCTGTGCGGAGCCCACTTTGGTATCAATCCATACCACCACCACATCCACAACAGTCACCGAACACCCACGCCTCTCAGCATTCAACACTAATCCCAGCACACTTTTCGCTCGATCAAGATGTCCGCTGTCCAGAACACTGCCAACGCCGCTGGCGACAACATCAACGCTGCGGCGCAGACTGCTTCTCAGCAAGCCAGCAACCTCTCGAACCAAGCTTCTCAAGCTGCTGGCGATCTGTCCAAACAAGCATCGGACGCTGCCAACAAAGCTACCCAGCAGGGAGGCGTGAGTACGGGCGCATTTTCGCTTCGCGTGGAAGTGTTTCCTGACCCTCGCTTCTGCACTGCACCTGGCCGCTTCCCTCATAGTCCCTCTTGGAGCAGGCTACCCAGCTCGTCACTGACTCTGTCGCCTACGCTCAGCATCAAGCTGGCGCTATTCTCGGCGGCGCCAAGCAGCAGGCCGGCGATGCAAAGGACCAGGTGAGTGTGGTGAAGTGATTCTGCATCTTGGATGGTTCGTGTATGCTCAAAGGCTCCGCTGCCTGCGTACTGGTTGCGCCCAGGCTTCTGGTGCTGCTGACCAGGCGAGCCGCGATGCCTCCAACTTGACGAAGCAAGCGTCCAAGGAGGTCAGTGGAGCTGTCGAATCGTGTTCTGCTGGATGTGCCCGGTCGAATTTGCGTTCTACGGTGGTATCTGACTGGATGCTTCCTTCCTATGCAGGGCCAGGCAAATGCTGAGGCAGCTCAAAAGTCCTTGGCAGACCTCGTTCAGCAAGGTCGTGAGCTTGGAGCCAATGCATTGAACCAGGCCAACGAGTACGTCAAGCCTCAACAGGCTGGCGACGCCGCCTCTGGATACGTTGATCGTGAGTGCAAGGTGGACGCCGCCGCGGCGCCTGCCCTTACCTCCTCGCGCCCAGTCGCTCACATGTTTCCTCCACTTTCCACGCCCCCACAGAGGCTCGCGGCATTGCATCCAACGCCATCCAGCAAGCCTCTGGTATCATTGGTGGTGCGCAGAACCAGGCCAGCGAAGCCGCTGCCACTGCTCAGCAAAAGGCCAGCGAGGCCAGTGCTCAAGCTCAGGGTGCAGTCAAGGGCGCAACTGGCAACTAGACGCGCAGCCTGCACACATTGTTCCCACATGTAGCCTTCATACCAGGGCGTCACTTTGCGTCCAATCGCGCTGATCAATTTGATTAGCATTCGTCAATGGTCTTGTTTGCAGATTGGTATTGCACGCGGATGACTAAAGCAGTGAGTCGTGCGAGACTTGCCATAGCGGATATATACGTTCAGCATCAAGCCAAGCGAGATGGCCAAGCGCCGCGTTACTCGCTCATCCTTCTGGCGAGCCTCTCCGCCAGTGCGAAGATCCAGCTTTGAGGGTGCGTGCTTGGAACGTTTGGGAAGATGCTTGCATCGCAGACGCGCAAGCCATCGACGCCTTTGAGGGTAAATTGTTGCGCATCAATGGGAGTGTCGTTGGGGGAGCGCAGAGCCATGGTGGAGGTTCCGTGGTAGATTGGTCTAGCATTCGCCCTGATCCACGACTCGTAGACCTGTGACGGGGTTGTTCGAACATGCTCAACATTGGCGAGCAGAGCGGACTGCGATGCGCACTCACGGATTGTGGTATTTCCTCTGGATGAGGAAATGCGTTGAAATCTGTTGGTCCGTCAAAACACCACCTGCCAGTCATCCCATCTCTCCCGGGTATACTAGCTGGAGACACCTCGAAACCAGTCTGCTTTAGACGCCTGACGACTTGCAAAGCGACTTTTGTCGCAAGAGCCAGACGTTTCAAGTCGTCGGGATCTGACAGATACGCAGGATCGATCAAAGGGACGTCTCTTGGGTCTGCACTTGCTGGGCGCACCGATCCAGCGGCCTTTGGCTGAGCGAGCACGACAAGGACTCCGATCACACCCAGTCCATCTTCCAGCCCCGCATATCTTGGAAAAGAATCGTCGATGTAGTACGTCGAGAACATCAACTCGATGTCGGCCTGCGGACGTGGAGAAGCCTTGAGCGAGGAGACACGTGTGTTGCATCTCGAAACGCGCTCACCACACGGTACGGGTCTGAACATTTGACGATGATGTCTCCGCTTTCATCGTGACCAACGTCCTGCGTGTTGAACCACGCAGCGCTTTCCATGAAACCAGTGCTCGTGAATAGGCCCTTGCCGTGCCGAAAGTAGTCCCACGCGTTGCGAATGCCGTACACCAGAGCTGAGGCACCTTCGACCGTCTTTAATCCAGACTTTTCCCGCGGCACCAAAAAGTGCAGCGGTACGGCGACGTGGTCCTGCAGGTTGGCGCCGACCTGAGGCAGCGAGAGGCGCACAGGAATGTCGAGCGATTTGAGAAGATTTGGAGGACCAATGCCGCTATGATGAAGCAGCATCGGCGTATCGTAGACTCCCTGACACACGATGACCGAATTCGAAGCTGCGTAATACGCGGCGTTGGAGTCCGCATTTGCTTTTGCGCTTCGCAGCTCCTCGAACCAGACGCCTTTGGCGGATCGGTTGCCGCTGCTCCCTTTGCCGAGTTGCAGACGCAGCACATTGACGTTTGTGCAAAGCTGTTCGTGCGCACATGTCAGTGTCGCACACTGCGCTTTGCAGAGACACACTCACTGTTAGGTTTGGCCTCGAGAGCACAGCATTGGTCAGAAAAGCATTGCCAGCGTGACACTTGGTGCCGTCGCTAGCGTGCGAGGCCTGAAGCGTAAAGCTCGCCGTTCCGATGGGGCCTTTGCTCGAGGAAGCAGGGCTGTGGGAGTCGACGACGGTCTTGATGCCCATGCTGTCCAGCTCTTGGAGGATGAGAGCGGTCTGCTCGAACTTGTGCTGACGAGGGTGATACGTCTCCCATGGGCCGACGGGCTCTGTCGACGAGCTTTGCAGACCTTTCGCAGCTTTTGCACCGTTGGGGTCGCGCGCAGGAGGCGCAGTCGCCGTCTCGGTCCTCGACCAGCCGATGCGATGCTTGGGAAGTCTGAGGACAGATTCCAAAGCGGAAGCTGACCAGCTTGGAGCCTGCAGCTTTTCCGCCCATGCGTTTAGCTCGGCGTGTGGGCCAAGCGTGTAGATGGAAGCATTGATGGCGCTGCGAGGCATCGCATGTCGTCAGCATTGTCGTCCCCCTGGTGGCTGCTCGGGTCTCACCTCGAGCCTCCAACGACCCTGCAGGTGAGAGGAGGAGGGCGTGTTAGAAGTGCCTGAATGGTCTACAGCGCGGCGAGGATACGCACTTTCCTGACAGCATTCGTACGCTTCTCCCACCCAGACCACTTTGAGGCGTAGTGTACCTAATAAACGCGTACTTTGGATCGTAGCTTCGAACGATGCTAAAGAGCGGTAGCCGGGAAAGGACATCATCGACGCGCGGCCCGTGATTCAGTACCAGGATCTTGTTATCGGGATTCTCCGACAGTCTTGATGCCAGAACTGAGCCGCTGGTGCCAGCTCCCAGAATGATGTGCGTGTATTCGGTCGCATTTGCTGGAGCAGGAGGAGCTTGACGGGAGGAAAGGCGTGGGAAGGCCTCGACTCGAGTGCCTGCTTGCGACGCTTTGACTTGGCCAGGCGAGGAGGCGCCGAAGATGCCGCTGAAGAAGGTCATGACGAAGTGCAGGGATATGAGCGCGACTTTTGGTCGTGTAGGGCGACGCGGGTATCGACCGCACCCAGGGCTGTCTGGTCAGCACCGTGTGGAGGTGAGGGAGTGGGAGTCACGGGCTACCGAGATTCGATTCCATCCGTGTCGGAGCGTCGCTTGGTCACTGGTGGGATCGAGTGCTAGACGCTGCACCAACCCCGTCTGGATTCGGTTATACATTGGCACTTTTGTGTCCCGACCGCACTGCGGGCAAGAACATGTACCTCACAGGTTGGATTTTAAGCTTTGGCTGCCTTTCTTGGAATGCCCGGGTGATGACGCACGCGGGCAGGCGAGGTGCATCATGCTGCGTGCGCTGCTCCTTACACGCACTCACGCTCATCTCAGATGTCTGAGTCAGCGAGCTGCTAATGACGAATCAAGAATGTCAGCCGTTACCATGGACCGTTCAGGGCGCAATTGGCGTGCCTGACCACGATCGACGCGAAACGCTCGGTATGGGCGTCTCTTTGAACATGTGAATCGCATGTACGGCACACGCGGAGCACGGCAAAACCTCTATCCTTGTCTACGTCGTTTGCCCAGCACGTCGAGCCATATATATGCAGTCAGGCACTCGTCTCACTCGGAGGATTGCACGCGTCCGGGCGCGCCCCGGTGGCTCTACAGTTTCAGCTGCGTCGTTGGAGAGAGAGAGGTTTGAGGCTCGATTCTGAACATCGCGCCATATATCTCGCATTGGGCGATGAGCCACTTGAGCACAGACCACGTGAATCAAGAATGAGTGACGAGCGGAGCACATACCACGTGAATGGGTGACGAGCGGAGCACAGACCACGTGAATGGGTGACGAGCGGAGCACAGACCACGTGAATGGGTGACGAGCGGAGCACAGACCGCGTGAATGAGTGACTCGATCGAGCGTCCGTGTATATCAAGCAAACGTCTTTTCTAGCGCTCACGGCGCCGGCGCCAGCGCTACCCAGTGTCTGAGACAAGTCTGCGGACAGGACGCCCCGCTCAGAGTCTCTTCAGTCACAGTTAACAGCGGCGTTCGGCCAGGGCCGGAGCAAGCGTCTGGCGTGCTAGTGCAGTGATACGCGTCCATGCATTCAAGGGAATCTCTGACTCGTGACTACAGTCACCACACTCAGGCTAATGTCTCGACGCACGCAATGCGGAATGTCTTTGGATGAATCGATTGAGGTCAGAATGGCTTTTCTCCCTACACGCTTTCGGTACCCTTGCCTTGCGCAGCAGAGACCTTTCCTGCCTCCAGCTCAATGACCTTTTTGGTCGCCTCCACCAGTCTCTCTACCTTTGGCGCGCTTTGCGAGTCAGCATCGGCCAGCTTGACGTCTCTGACGCGCCTCTCCTTTTCAAGCAAACCGTGCATTTCCTTTGGCAAGACGTCTCGCTCAAAGTCGAAAGATGCACCCGCAGATTCCAAAGACGATGTGACTGCTTCGCTGAATTTGGCCGGATGCGCTGTGGACAGCACCACTTGATGCTTGGCGCCTGCTCGACGAGCCGAGAGGCGGTTGGCTGCGCAAAATCCTACTGCCGTGTGCGGATCGATGAGGTAGGAGGGAGGTGCATTAAAGTAGCGCAGAATCGTCTCCTTGGTCTGCGGGTCAGAGGGCTAGCGTCAGAGGCGCAGTCCGGCTCGCTCTCTCGCGTGCCCACACTCACCTCCTTGTCGCTGACTCGCTCAGCCTCAAAATCTCTCCTTGCAACCTCGAGCTGGTTCTTGTCGACCTGGAACCTGCCCTGCTCCTTGAGCTCCTTCATCCACTGTGCCAACTGCTTGCCCGCGTCGGCTTCTCTGTCTGATCCGGAAGCGGTTTCGGAGGCAATGTACCACAGCAACCTTTCAAAGTTGCTGCTGACCAGGATATCCATTGCTGGGCTCAGGGTAGCCTTGACACCGCTCACATCCTTTGCCGTGCCGGCTTGAGCGCCGTCTGAGCTTCCTTGCGCGGGCTCAGTCTGAGAAGCCCCGGCATGCCCAGTGGCCTCCTTTTCGTACGCGCCAGTGGACCAAAAGCGTTGCAAAATGTCGTTTTCGTTGGTGGCAACGACGAGGTTTGTGATTGGCAGGCCCATCCTCTTGGCGTAGTAGCCCGCCAAGATGTCTCCAAAATTGCCAGTCGGCACGACAAACTCTACGTCGGGAGATGCTTCGCCTGTCTGTTGCAAGAGTTGGAACCACGCGCTAAAGTAGTAGACGATTTGTGCGAGGATGCGAGCAAAGTTGATGGAGTTGATCGCTCCGAGCCTGTGCTTGGCATTAAATTGCGCATCCGAAAAGAGCGCTTTGACGACGTCCTGGCGGCGTGCGAAGGACGTGAGCTACGCATCCCACTCCACGTGCCCCGCAAACACGTACCTGGCAATCATCAAAGGTTCCCTCGACAGCCAAATTGTGCACATTGTCGTCGAGCACCGTGGTCATTTGGGCCTCTTGAATGGGGCTCACTCGGCCCTTTGGATGCAGAATAAAGATGCTGATGTCTGCTTTGGAGCGCAGTCCAGCGATCGCGGCGCTGATAGAGGAAGGAAGCAGCTTGAGCGACAAGAGGCTCTGCAATCGTTGGCGCGCCAAAACTCACCTGCCAGTGTCACCGCTCGTGGCACCCACAACGGTCAGCTTCTGCCTTTCACCCTCTGCCTTGCCCGCGTTCCGCCTCTGCAAAAAGTATTCGAATAGGTTGCCCAGCGTCTGCAGCGCGACGTCTTTGAAAGCAAACGTGGGACCATGCCAAAGTTCGAGACACCATTCTTGAGCGCTACCGCTCTCAGACGAGGTGAGCTTCTTCAACGGCGTCGTCTTGGGATCCCTGAACTCGCTGTAGCTTTTCTCCAGCAGCGCTTTCAGATCGGCTGGCAGGATGCCTCCCTCTTCTGCAGTAGGAGGGATGAAGAGCGAGAGGATCTCAAAGGAGAGGGCGGGAAAGGAGAGGTTGCGCCAGCGTGTGGACCAGTCTGCGGGAATCGATGGAAGGTTCACAGGAATGTAGAGTCCACCATTGGGGGCGAGGCCTCGCAAGACTGCCTGAAGGGCAGTGCGGTCAGCGATTGATCACGCGAAGGCGAGGTCGGACAAGCTACCCACCTCTTCGAACGTCAGTCGTTCAGCTCCACCCCGCGTCGAGAGGTAGCGCATGCCAGACATGTCGGCGTGACTGATGAATCTTGCTTGGTCGCCAGCGCGGTCCAGCGGGTCGTGATGGTGCGAGGAGAGCGCATTTCATGATCTCTGACTAGATAATGACTTTTGACTTTGCTTCGAGCGTCGCGAGCGTCTCTCTGCGGTGAGTCACGTCTATGATTCAAATTCATAGTCCGCGAGTAGCACGTGCCGGAAGGAGCGCACACATCAGCAATCGGTGAGGGGCCTCAACGATGTGCTATCGATTCTCTGTCAACCCATTATATTATTCAAATACTCGCAATTTGCACTAGTCCCGTTTGGCGCAGTGGTACTAACCTCTGGTGTTGAATTAAGGCGGCGGCCTAGTATAGTGGTCAGTACATCAGATTCTGACGTTGCTGGCATTCTGAGGAGCCCGGTTCGATTCCGGGGGTTGCCTTTTTAAGCTGCAGACTCACCATCACTGTTTTTCCCACCTCTGGATCAATCCAGCTCGGCAGACAAACCGGGAATGAAGTCTGATTAGAAACCGTCCTAACGTCTTCTCAAAGTGGCATGGAGGTGCGACTTGCGGAGGAAGTCCAGAAGCATGTTGGCATCAGATACCGGTCGTAGTCGCAGTCTGGGCCAAGGGGCATGCGAAGCATGCTTGAGGTTTCACTGGATTTGTAATGATCCACTTACCGGCTTCTGCGTGTACAATCATAATCTTGAAGGCATGGTTCACATGGCTCTCTATGCCTGTCAGCCACGCACGAACGCTGAAGGGCAGGGCATCTGATCAAGCCTTAATGACGCTCCTGCTCAGCAGCGACACTGTGACGCCGGCCTGGACCGAACGCACAGGCCGTGCTTGAAGCGGCCAAACCTAAACCACCCTCTCACCAAATTCCTTGTCACGTATTCGCGGCGGCATGAACCCGTTCGCACCGAGCGCTACCTTGCCATCCTTGAATCACCTTGATTTTCACGCTTGTCTCGCTTGAGGTCGATTTTAGAAATGAGACATCACACCGCCACCCATGACGGAGTGCGTAGTTGCCATGCATCAAGTTCACACGACCGCAGCGCATCGATTTCCGTCGCGATGTATGACCGTGCAAGATATGTATTGTGTCCTCATCACCGCAGCTCAACCCCCATGTCCTCTGTCAACCGCTTGCCTATCGCTTTATGTAACGCATTGATCACCTCATGCTCTAAACTCCTGTCCATGCTCCTGTAAGTTATTCTGTAGCAGCAGCTCTTCCTCTTCGTCTTTGGATGCTCGAATTTATCTGTGAGCTCTACGCTTTCCACCAGATCCTTTGCCACATCTCTGACGATCTCGTAAACATCATTGTCGTGCGGCTCATGAGATGCTAGCCAAAAGGAGACGTCTTTGAGGACCGGGGGGTACTTGCTGTATGGCTTGAAAGTGACGAGCCCTCCAGCAGCACTAACGCCAGTCTCGGAAGGCGGAACATTGTCAGAGGCTGTTGGCCCACGAGATTTGCTGCCGTCCATAGCAAATTGATTAAGGAAGCGTGGGTCCTTGGACCAGAACAGACGAATGTCTGGAATCGAGTATAGGACCATTGCTATCCTTTCCAGTCCCAGACCGAATGCCCAGCCGATCCTGTGCGACACGCCTGCGAATTCAAGGCTGCAACTGTGAGCCAACGCGTTATCCGGCTGACAGCCCTTTCAAACTCACCGCTGTCTTTCAGCGTCTTCTCCATGACGACACCGGAGCCCAGAATCTCAAGCCATTTGCCTCTGAACCACACCTCGACCTCAAAGCTGGGACTCGTAAAAGGAAAGCTGGCTGCGATCCACCTCACCTTGAGGGGTTCAGCGTGTGCTGCTCGATTCGCCGCTTGATCCGTGCTTGCACCGCCGGCAAGAGCAGCGGCAGCAGCGTCTGCTGCATGTCGTGGTCCAAAGAGTCGAAGGACGAGTCCATTCAAAGTGGCTTTGAGGTGCCGAGCACTGAGCTGAGCCGCTACGAGCCTTTCCTGACTGCTAGCGTGACCCGCCTGCCATCCGCCAGCCTCCGTGATATCTACCTCGTCCTCGATCTCGATCTTGGCGTCTCGCAGATGTGCCTCCATATCTTGGCATTCCATCTCCACTCTACCGCCTGGTAAAAAGTCATCTTGATGCCAAATCGAGGCACCTTCCATCTGGTGAAAGATGGGGTAATGCGAAGCGTCAATCTCGTCCCTTCTATACACGTCGGCCGTCAGCAGCCAATGATCATGACCCTGGGAAAAGACCTCGACTTCGTGCGCGGATGTATGCGTGCGCAAGCATATATTCCTGTTGATGTAGTACGTGTCTGTCGGACTTCTACCGGGGTGATCAAGAGGGAAGCCCAGGGTGTCGAAATTGAGAGCAGAGGTGACGACCGGAGACGGAGCTGAAATGGCGGTGTGGTGGCACAAATGACCTTCAATCTCTCTGCGTAGCAACGCGAGTGGATGAGACGCGCTGTATGGAAGCTGAGGCGAGCTGGAAAGCCTTTCTCGAATTGAAGGAGGCAGGTTGGTATAGTCGTCTGACGTGTAATGTTCACCCAGCACCGTGAGCGAGCTCGACCTCGCTGCAGCCGAGCGTGAAAAAGCGTGAAATGAGCGTAGGGAAGACGGGCGCACCGCACGAATCGATCCTGTCGCCACGGCTGGTCTGCAATGCTGTTTGCGAAGCGGCAAGGCTGAGACTGCGAAACAAGAGAAGCATCTCGATTGCGCTGTCGGTCGCTGGATTCTGAGCCGAGCAGCTTGAAAGAGTTGCGCCACCACTACTCCTACTTCTGACGTCGAACGCATGCCCGTTGGAGATGCTCGAGCGATGCGCGAAAGGCAGAAGAAAAGCGGTGATGAACAGGGTGGCGGACCCTTTGCGTCGAGGAGATTCGCGATTGCGTCTGCGGCATGTGGGTGGATGAGAAGAGGGAAAGGTCAGGCTCGCGTGCACGGCAAAGGTGGCCGGTGCGTCTGCTGCTGCGCGTAATTTGACTAGTCACGTGAGTGCGATTTAAGTTGTCTTTGACCGGCGCACTTGGCGCGCCACCCTCGCCCCGACTTCCACATCTCCATCCCTCAACCAAACCGCTCGCGCTTCTGGAGCGTGGTCGTCTTTTTGATCACATCATACTGCACGATCACCGACACTGACCTCGTGCTGCGAGCTCTGAACGCCACCATGGCACCTTCTGCAGACACAGCAAATGCCAGCAATGACATCCAAACGGCATCAGTCGCCACCAAGCGGTCTCGTCGGGCTGCGGATGAGGACGCAGAGATGATGACGTACGGAGACACCTCCGAAGAGGAGGACTACGACAGCAAGAGGTATATACCTGCGGCCAAGCGAAGGCAGATGGAGCTGCAACGCATCGCAGGTTTGGGCAAGTCAAACGGTGACGGGGCTAGTGCCAGTACTCAAAAAAGGCCAGGAGGTGAGGGCTCTGACCTCGAAGACAACGAAGACGTTGGTGTAAGACAAAGCAAGACTGCTCTTCTGCATGCCGCACGCGAGCTGAGGGAACGCGAAGCAAAGGAGAAAAAGTCGGAAGCCGAGAAGCAAGCGGAGGAGGAAAGAAAGATCCTGGAGGCTCACGCTGCCAGGCGGAAGCTGGCTTCCGATATGGAGCTGGCAAAGGGCATAAGCTACACCGAACCCATCAAGACCAGCTGGACTGCACCAAGATTTGTGAGAGAGAGGACAGAAGAGGAGAATGCGCGGCTGAGAGAGGAGAATCATGTAGATGCAGACGGTTTGCACGTGCCACCGCTCATCACAAATTTCAGGGTGTGTACATGCGCCTCCAAGATTGCACTGGCCGCTCGAGCTGACATGATGAGGACCACCTGCAGGACATGAAAATACCGGCTCCTCTCATTGCCTATCTCGAAAGCAAAGGCATCAAGAAACCCACTCCAATTCAGATGCAAGGTCTGCCTACAGCGTTTGCAGGGCGGGACATGATAGGCATCGCATTTACTGGTTCTGGAAAGACGCTCGCCTTTAGTCTGCCCATCGTCATGTTCTCGCTAGAGGAGCAGAAGAAGTTGCCGTACACCCGCGGCGAAGGTCCTCTTGGCATGATCGTTTGCCCATCCCGAGAGCTGGCGAGGCAAACTTTTGACGGTCTCAAGGCAATGGCTGAGGTGCTAGCTCAGAGCGGATACCCCGAGATTGGCGTATTGCTCTGCATAGGCGGTATCAGTATGGCTGAACAAGGTCACACTCTGAACAAAGGCTTCCACATTGTCGTCGCGACACCCGGTAGGCTGCAAGACATGTTGGAGAAGAAAAAGTTTACGCTGGAGTGCTGCAAGTATCTATGCCTAGACGAAGCAGACCGGATGATTGACATGGGCTTCGAAGAGGATGTCAGGAATATCATGAGCTTTTTCAAGGTGCGTTGAAAGGGCAGACAAGTATGCAGTTCTCCTCGCAGCGGCTCATGAACATGTTCATTCCGTCTACGCAGCAACAAAGGCAAACCTTGCTTTTTTCTGCGACGATGCCAAAGAAAATTCAAGACTTTGCTGAGCAATCGCTGATACAACCAGTGGTCGTCAATGTTGGTCGAGCCGGTGCAGCTAATTTGGACATCATTCAAGAAGTGGAGTACGTCAAGCAAGAAGCCAAGATGGTCTACCTACTCGAATGTCTCCAAAAGACGGCGCCACCAGTCGTCGTCTTCTCGGACAACAAGAACGAAGTCGATGATATACAAGAGTACCTGCTGCTCAAAGGTGTAGAGGCAGTTGCCATTCACGGCAGCAAAACGCAAGACGAGCGAGAGTATGCGATCAAAAGCTTCAAGAGCGGCAAAAAGGACGTGATGGTTGCGAGTGGTGTCGCGAGCAAGGGTCTCGATTTCAACGAGATTCAACACGTCATCAACTACACCATGCCCAATCTTGAGGACTATGTACATCAAATCGTAAGTCGTGTCGCGGGCAGCCTGGTCGGGGGCTTCGCAGAATGTTCAGCAACTTGCTTTCCTTGCTCAGGGTCGTACGGGTCGTAGCGGCAAGACTGGTATAGCCACGACCTTTGTCAATATGAACACAAACGAGCAGACGCTTCTAGATCTCAAGTATCTTCTAATGGAAGCCAAGCAGCGCATACCCCCATTCTTGGCAGCCATCGAAGACCCAAGGGCTATGGGTGCTGGAGGCAAGCTCACCGGCTGTGCAGTCTGTGGCGGTCTTGGACACAGTGTCAAGGACTGCCCGAAGCTGGAGGAGAACCAAAAGCGACAGACTGCTGGCTTTTCCCGAGGAGACGGTGGTGGAGGCTACTGATGTTACAATCTTTACTCGCTGTCGATTTTGTACTTGTACTAGCATGCAACAGCTCAGCACTCATGATCACCAGGGCCGTGTGTACTAGTACCTTGCGTGACAATCGTGAATCACGCATGGTTGGCAAACAGTGTGCGCACTCTGGACCGTAGGCAGTCATAGGTCGCTGCTGGGCCAGGCTCTCATGCGTCAGCAATCGCGGCGCACGCCAACGAGGCCGCGCGGCCTGCTGCCGCGCGGCTGTCTCTCGACCGATCGTTCATTGATTGCTGCGCGGGACTTCCGCGGTGGCGCGCGCGCGCACGCGCGCGTGAACGCGGTGCAGTGGGCATGGCGTGCTGCACCGCGACCCTCTCATGCCTGCGAGTCATGCTGTGCTGGTGCCGGGGGCATCAGCACATGCAGGAAATCCTGCGAGGCTTCTTTTCTGCGCGGGCATCGCGTGCACTGATCCGGAGCCCGTTTTGGCAACTTGGCAGATTGGTTGATTGCGCGTATCAAAGCTGTTCACCACCAACTTGGAGCGCCAGCTTCTTGAACGTCATCATCATCGCCAGTCAATTTACACAACGTCAGCCTCGTCATCTTGCACAGCCAGCGTCAGAGCACTCGCTCCGCCACATTCGTCCGATAGTCTGCATAGACACCATCCCCGGTTTCTGGACCTTCAACACGCGGGCTGCGCATCCATCCTGGCACTATCGGCCTAATTGACCTCTCTTCAGTCTACCTGCCTAGATACCCTTCACCGACAAAGCGCGGCTCTTCAATCCAGTGACACGGCCTTTCTTTAGGTCTGTGCCATCGCGACGACCTCGACTAATCCAAAGCAAGCACAGGGACGGCCTGTAAAGCGAGCACATTTCTCGCTTGTCCGCAAGGCACATACGTGCGCCCAGAGGCTCCTGAAATACCTCCTCAAACGCCAGCAAGTCATTGGCGAGCCAGAAGCTCTACAACATGGGACAGACACTAAGTGAACCAGTGGTGGAAAAGGTGCGTTTTGCGCCCAGGGGAGCGTGGATGATGATCATGGTACAGCAGCGGGAGATGGGCGAAGTGCAGCGCATGGGTACTTGGCTAGTCGCATACAAGGCGCTTGCAGTGATCAGCAGATGCTTGCTACATCTTCAATCACAGCTCAGGACGCATTTGCGCACTTCTGCGCACTCAGCACGTTTGTTGGTACCATTACATGACTAATGCTTTGCACCTGGTCACGTAATCTGCAGCATACCCAAACCGGCGAGGATGACACCTTGATATACGGAGTGTCGGAGATGCAAGGATGGAGAATCAGTACGTAGCACGAGTGGTCTTGGGGTTCTGCGTGGGCTTGCTTTGGGCTGATGCCAAACATTGCTCTTGCAGGCATGGAGGATGCACACGCTACTATACTCTCGCTGGACCCGTCTCTGAAGGGCGACGAGAAGGCATCATTCTTTGCAGTGTACGATGGACACGGAGGCTCCACAGTAGCCAAATACAGTGGTGAGACCGTCCACCAACGCCTGGCAAAGACGGACGAATTTCAGCGCGGTCAATACGAAGCTGCCCTGAAACGCGCATTCTTGGGCACTGATGAGGACCTTAAGAGCAGTAAGTGACAGTTTTATACGGTTCCTTTGAGGATTTGTAGCTTGACGCTCGTCCTCTGCCAGACAAAGAATTTGCATTCGATCCATCTGGCTGCACGGCTGTCGCTGCTCTTCTCGTCGCTGGTCCCCCGAGTCAGGGTCAAGAAACTGCAAAGCCAAACGTACCACGCCGTATCATTGTCGCCAATGCGGGAGACTCGCGAAGCATCCTGAGCTACAGAGGGGAGGCCAAACCGATGAGCTTTGATCACAAACCGCAGAACAAGAGTGAGCAGCTTCTGCATCAGAGCGTGCAATGGCTACTGAAGGGTTGACACGCTCTTCTTCCTCATGCATCCCGTAGACGAGCTTTCTCGCATCAATATGGCTGGCGGCTTCGTCGAATTTGGTCGCGTGAATGGCAATTTGGCGCTTTCCCGAGCCATTGGAGACTTTGAATTCAAGCAGAATTACTCGCTGCCACCTGAGGAACAGATCGTCACAGCCGACCCAGAGATCATCTCGCATGATGTGGACGGAGAGGAAGAATTCTTGGTGCTGGCTTGCGACGGAATTTGGGACTGTCTCAGCAGCCAGGAAGTGGCAGATTTCGTAAGAAGGCGCATCGCCGAAGGCAAAGAGCTCAAAGACATTTGCGAGGAGGCCATGGATAGATGCCTTGCACACGACCCGGATGTTGGAGGTGTCGGCTGCGATAATGTGAGTTGCGGGTAGGATGAATACGTCGAGTTGCGGGCAGGATGAATACGTCGAGTGGAGCACTGAAGAATGCTACCTCATCGTGGGCCAGATGACGATTTGCGTCGTGGCACTTCTCGGTGGGCGTTCAAAGGAGGACTGGTATTCTTGGGTCAAGGACCGGGTCGAAAAGAAAATTGGTTGGGATACGCCTCTAGAGCCGGCAGATCCACTCAACACCCTCAACAGGTCAAACCAAGGTGGTGCTGGTAGCTCTGGCGGCGGTCTCTCCATGGGGCGACTTGGCGCCATGGGCGGTGGGTCTGTATTGTCCGCTCTGGCCGGCGGCCTCAACGCTGGTGATGACGATGATGAGCGACCTGGCTCGCTTAGACTCCCTGGTGGGCTTGCTGGGGCCCTTGGCGGAGCGGGCATCGTCTTTAGACCGGGGAATCAAACCGACGATGACGGGGACGTCATCTATGAAGCACACGTGGTCAATTCGGACTCGGACGAGTCCGAAGAGTCGAACAACGCACCGAGTAGCAAGGACGCCGCCAAGATCGAAGAACTGTCGGAGGCAGGCTCAGAGGAGGCAGAGAAGAGAAGTCAGCAAGGTCAAGAGGGACGACCCGACCTGACTCATCAACCCGAAATCGTCGAATCTCCTCAAGAAGGTGCCGCTGCTGCGTCCTCTGCCGGGAGCAAGACCGCCGCCGCCGCAGGCCAGGCTTCTGCTGCAAATGTGGAAGTTAGGTCAAGTACTGAAGGGACCGTCCAGGAGGACAAGGATGCCAGCTCGACTTGAGCGGTAGATATCACCAACAGCTCTAGTAGCAACAGAAGCGCACTCTCTTGACAAGGGACCAAAATATCCACGGCCAAAACCTCTGACTATCCTCCAAATTCACTTCTGGATCTCTGCTGTGCGCTTCTTGAGCTGCTGCTTGTCCACCGCTTCTTTCTGTTTCAGCTTTTGCGACTTTCATTGTTTCACCAAGGGCAATCTCTTCAATCTACAGGGCCATGCAATTCGAAAAAAAGGTTTTCATGTCCAGGCGTACTTGAGCTGAAGTCGTAGAGAGTGCCAGCGTGTAAGATTGATTGAGCAGCGCGTTGCAAATGTTTCCCTGTCAGACGTTTGATTCTCAGGGATGGGCACTACTGCTCGTGTGACGTCTCTGCAGCCAATCGTGAATGCAGCAGCTACCGTGGAAGCTTACACGAGATCCTGATGAGGTTAGCGTTCAATTAGCGCGGTTTGCGTTCCACCGTGGACGCATCGGAGCCCTGATGGAGGTACGCTCGGCCATCAGACCATCTGCTTCCGCCTGGCACTCGTAGCAAACGCACAGGCCGCGCGCGCCCCTGCAGGTTGTGAGTGTGAGTGGCTTGGCACCTATCCTGCTGACCATGACAAGCCTCTCGCGCAAACATCCCGGCACCACAGGCTACCCTCCCTTGATGAGGCGTCTAGCATTCCTTCGCTGAGCGTCTACTCTCACCTGACGGACCACGCGTCTCTGCGCATTGGCGCCAGCATCCTAGTGTCTGAAGCGAGGCAAGCTCTCGACGCTCCACATTACCTGTGCGAGGAGCTTGGCCTTCTGATGGACCCACACAACGAGCAAGATGCTCCTTCAGCGACAGGCGACGCACCGCGTCTCCATGAGAATCAAGGTCCAATGAACTTGGCCGGTGAGCATACAAGCGAGATCGCTCCGCCAACAGCGACTTGCGCGGCTGAGCCGTTCGAGGACTGCCCAGGCGCATCTCAGAGCGAAGGGAAGGCCGAGGCGTGTGTCTCGCTGGGCCGTGACAGTAGTTCGGATGTCGCTTCTGCCACCACTCTAGTAGGGCTAAAGATGGATACAGCAAAGCTGTCCGACTCTTCAGGCCAAGCGGGCGCTCTGCGGTCATCGTCCGGGGTGTCAGCGTCGTCTGCCTCAGCTCCGGAGCGAGACCTCCTTAGCGATGCAACAAGCGCAAAGCTCTCGGCAGCAGCAGCAGCAGACAGCGACGCACAGCGAGAGGAAGACGGTCCCTCGGTCAACGTCGGGCAAATTGACGGGAAAAGCGCCGACGCTCAGCAAGATCTAGATTGCGAAGACGTGGCAGCGAGCCTGATGCGACTGGCCTCAGTCTTGAAGGCGACCGAGGTTCCGAAGATGGCCTTCTCATTCTACGAAGCAGTGGACCAGCCGCGCGCGACTCCGGAAGAAAGGGTTGCGGACGAGACGAAGGCATCGAGCAGCACGATAGCGTCGCAACAAGTGCTCGGAGTCGTCTCCAACGTTGAGAGTGGAAGGGAAGAAGCGGCGTGAGTGCACTCCTGGCGTGGTGTGAGCATCTGCCTCGTCTGACTGCCTTGACATCGACGATCTGGAAGCATCTTGATCGTAAAGCCGCGCCAGAGTGACTCGAGTAGAGGGGTTGTCACTGCTGCCATACCGATACGCTCTTCCTTGCGGTTTGGCTCCACCGCTGTCAGTGCCAAAGAACCTCGCTTGCCGTCATTTGAGCAAGTGTTGGCAGCCGAAGCAGAGCATGCGGCGACGAGCGAAGAGAAGGAGCAGCGCAATACCGGGGAGGATATGTTCGTCATCTCATGTGATGGGCACTGGTGTGCCGGAACGACCCATGATCGGTGAGCATCAAGTTCCGCCAGAGGTACCACCGGCTCGGGATTGACACGCCTGCTGCTCGCATTCAGACGCTCGTTGACAGATCTCAAAAAGATTCTGCCGGACTTATGTTCAAGTGAGCTGATAGGACTGGAAGGCCCGCTAGCCTTGAGACTTATAGAATGCCTACTTAGCGCCCAAAGCCTCCAGAGGTGCTCACAACTCGCACGCCTGGCTCGCTCGATACATCGGCGACGATGAGACGTCCATATCGACACCTCTCTTTTCACGATGTGAGTCCTACATTCTCCGAGTACTTCTTCCCGTTTGAATCGCAGTGGCTGAGGGCTTACGATGCATTTACGCCCACACACAGTCACTACCTCTGCCTTCGTTTCCCCCGCCCGCCCAGTCTCGCCCAAGGAGGGGGAGATCAAGCTTCTGTTGGGCACTTTCAACGTTGCGGGCATAGCACCAAGTGGCACAACAACATTCAGGGAGGAGCTGCGCAAATGGCTGTCCTCTTCGACCTGCAGAAACTGCGAAATTGTCGTCGTTGCGTAAGTCTAGATACCTGCCGTGCTACATCGCGATTCCTAATCTGACGCGGCGACTCACGCAGGCTTCAAGAGGCGGAAATTTCAAACACGGGGTACTTCTATGCTACGCCTGGGCTAAGGGAGGCCTGGGGAGATGAATTGCTTCTTGCTGTCAAGGGAAAGAATGAAAACTATATAGAGGTTCGTCCCATCGAGATACTGAGATCCTAGACACCTTTTTGATCCGCATCTCTGGCCCGCAGTTCGTTTCCCGTCAACTGGTCGGCATGATTCTCTACGTATTTGTGACGCCAGATGTTGTGCCTCGCGTACGCGATGTGACCTCTGACGCAGTAGGGGTGGGCCTGGGTGGCTGGGTGGCCAACAAAGGAGCGGTGTCTGTCCGCTTGACGGTGGACCAGACCTCGCTGTGCTTCGTTGGTGCTCATCTGCCCGCGATGCAGAACCCGCAAGCTCTGCAGAACCGGCGTTGGGCAGTCAGGGAGATCTTTCGGCGTTGCAAATTCGAGCTTCCAATGCCGGGTTTGGCAGATACTGAGGAGAACGATGATCCTTGTCCACTGCATATTGAAGATCATGAGTGAGTCCCTAGCAGACGTGAGCGGAATTATGTTCTCACTCTGTCCCCCTCTCGGCAGCCACGTCTTCTTCCTGGGGGATCTCAACTTCCGGATCGAGCTTGGCATAGGAGAAGTCAAGCGACTCATCCGGAAAGGATCTTCCTCGCTGTCGAGAAGTCACCAGACAGCTGCACTTGCAACCTATACTCGCCCTTTGCCTTTCGACACGCTTCTCAGCTTCGATGAGCTGTCCAACGAAATTCGGTCCGGCAGCTGCTTTGCGGAATTCAAGGAAGGTGCAATTGCGTAAGTCTTCGTGAGAGGATCTGCGCTAGCACTCAGCTGACTTCTTGTGCCGTCCTGTGACAGATTCCCACCAACCTTCAAATTTGACGTCGGGACGGACGACTACGACACCAGTGAAAAGCAACGCGTGCCGGCCTGGACTGACCGGATCCTGTGGCGATCGCGCAAGCCACTCAGGAACGATGGCCCTGCTTCAAAGGGAGCCGAAAGGGATTCCGTTGACCGGGGCAAAGAGTTCGACGCCGTCCGCCTAATCGAATACACCTCTGTACCTCAGGTCTGCACCTCGGATCACAAGCCTGTCCGCGGATGCTTCTTGCTTCGTCTTTGAGCACTCTCTTGCGCTCTGTCAGGCTCCGTCTGTATTGTTAGCATCCCTCGCAGTACTTGCAATGGCAACACTCGCCGCACAAGCACGCTGCGTGACCCATTGCATTTACAAGTACATGGCATGCCGAATGCCACCTGTGTCGGAGCCTTGTGGTCCAAAATTCCGATGTCCGGCCCCTTCCACCCATGTCCGGCCCCTTCCACCCTCTTCTGCCCATCCAGCGCAGCACCTGACCCCAACCCTAACCCTTCCACCCTCTTCTGCCCATCCAGCGCAGCACTTGATGGAAGAAATTGGCGCCAGGGAAGCTTCGCGTCTCATTTGATGCTGCTATGAGGTTCGCCTGGCCTACGCCTTTCGCTGAGCTGTCGCATCGGCGTCGGAAGTGCCCTGGACTTGAGAATCATCGTATCCCGCCGCTCCTTCTCTATCGACCTGATCAAGAGCGGCCATGAAGCTGTCGAGCGCGCGGATAATCAGCAAAGCGCATTTGATACATCCTAAAGGTCACGTTGCCAGGGCCTCCTCCGGCTTGTTGCCCGCTTCCGTGCTTCGGTCGCACACCTGATCAAGTAACCCGTCCGTCCTGGACGCTCCTTCCCTACTCGCGCTCGCCCGCCTGACTTTGCTTACTCACACGGCACCTTGGCTAGCTCCGAGTTTGCGAAGATAGACAGCTTGCTCCGCTGCCACCCCAATATGGTGATGCGTGTTGGCCAAATTGTTGCTTAGCGCGTTGAGCCGCGCTGCCAAGTGAGCGTAGTGACGTTCCTTCGTGGTGGTGGTGGACATCTCGCCGCTTTCTTACAGCGCGCAGCGCTCGTCGAAGCGTTGGCGATGTCTTGATGTTCGAGCTAGAGACGTGTGCACGACTTGATCGGCCTGCGTGAGCGGCGAAAGTGGTGTGCAGGAGCAAAGTGATGAACGCTAGGACGCGCTTGTGATTCGTGATTGGCGTTCGTGATTGCTGTTCAAATTCACCGCGGGCGCACGAGCGTGTTGTTGTCGCGTCCGCTTGTGGACGCGTCGCGCGGTGCATGCGTGCGTGCACGAGGTGTCGCTTTCCTATGGACTGAGCATCGGCGAGGACTGGCTGGCTACTTTCACTCTTCCTATAGCCCGAAGCCGAGCTGCATGGAAGTCAGTATTGGTAATTAATTGCCGTGCGTAGATTGAAGTCTGTCAACAGTGTGGCTCTCTGAGTGGGACGGCGGCAGGTATGTATCGCAATCCAAGCTGTCAACTTTGTTCCCAGATGCAACCAATGCATCTGGGCATCTTGTTGGCCCTCTTCCTAAAAGCTAGGTTTGCAACGTCTGCAAGAGGGTACAACAAGTCTACACAAGGAACTGCAAGCAGATTGTATTCACAAGATCAGTGAACTCTGAGGTGCTTGCACAAGTTGCTCGCCTTTGGCTTGCCATTGATTGCCTGCCCTGTGCAGCTCTTGGAGCACTGTGTCAGCACAGCATGAGCAGTCTTGATCCCAAGCAAGCAAGCTGGGAAACAAGTGAGATACGTAGTCAGTGTGAGGAGAGCAGGCAGAAAATTCATTTTGTCCTCCTCCCAGCAGCCAGCCATCCTTTGTGGACTTTGTGTTCACTCCTTGCCAAGCTTGATTTGTACATTTAATCATTGCACATGCACTCAGGATAGCTTGGGTGCTTCAGCTGTCTGTGCTGCCCTCTGAATGGTGGCATCTTAAGCGCTTTCTACATTGCTGAGAGCGCTTGTGATTCAGTTTCTCTTTCCAGGGACCTGCTTTGGCCACTAACCTGTCAAAGACCTTTGGCCAGGGGTGATAATAGTAGGTCTTCCTCTTGCCTAGCTTCTAAAGACGCAGTACCGCAAAAAGAACCCTTCTGTGCGCTGTGATGGCATAACCCTATTTTGTAGATGTGACATGCTTAAGAGTTGTGGAGAGACACAGTGGATTTGGTGCCACTCGCAAGATGAAGATGTGTGGAAGGGACCAGCAAAAGTCTGGAGAGCGTAGAGGCGAGTTCATCATGTATGCCTGTGCTTCAAGAGCGCTGCTTTCTGGTGGTTGGCACTACTTTCAGCAGTCAGCGGCGTCTTCCTTTCCTTGTTCCCTCTGCTTCACTACAGCATCAATCACAGATATACGAGTGGCGCTCTCTTTGACCTTATGACTGAACATCAAGAGCAGCTTCTGAGAGTGCAAGCCTTAGGCTTGAATCTCATCATAGGCAAGTTGCAATGCATAGCCCTTCTCTCCATGAGGCACATCCCTCAGACAAACAGATGCACCTCGTGTAGTATGACAATCACTGATTTCAGGTCGCGCAGATTTCAGACTCTCTACAGCAGGGGAAGGTAAGGCAGCCTGACACACCCATCCCTGCTCTCCTCTCGCATCAAAGATTGGGCCGGTAGTGGCTCTCTCCACTGTGCCGAATGGTGGCTCAAGTGCAATGGGAGAAAGAGCTGAGAGACGCAAGCTCTATTTGCATCTCCACGCAATCCAAGCTAGCTTGAGATCCCTGAGCTTCCCTCAGATCAATTGGCCTGCAGCTTCTTCAAATTCACTCATCCACAATTATAAGAAGGGTACACTGGCTTTTGCTTCGTGTGGCATCATCGCTCTTGCCATTAAGCTGAGTCAAATGATTCTCAAGATGCCCCTCAGCTTTTGACATAGAGTCATTGGGGTGGTGACTGATGGCAGGAAGAGATGGAAGCAATTGTGACATCTGCAAAGGGGCTATCTCTACGTGTGATTCTCAGAACCAATGCTTGAGGAGGGATGTTACCTCTGTGCCTAGCGTTTGATAGCTTGGGTGACCTCTCAAGCGCAAGTAGGAGCCCCATCGATGGTCTAGAGGTAGCTCCAAAGACCATCAAAGACCATCTGAAGAGATGTGTTGTCTGAAGCTGCCAAATCAAGGGTGTACTGGAAGCAAGGAAAGCAATGCATCCACATCACAAATAGAGAGATTGAGAGCAAGAAGGTGAACACCGAAAAAGGTGTGGATCATGAGGTGGGCAATGAAGATGCTGAGTCGACGCAGTGGGAGGAAACAACAACAAGTGAAGTCATGTCTACCAAAAGCAAGAGAAGATAAGGCATGGAGGTCATGAAGAAATGAAGGGCGCGGCGCAGGGACAGGAGAAGGAAGCTTGGCTTGGAGATATCCAGACAAGAGATGGCAGACAGCTTATACACTCTCCACAAGAGGCAATGTTGGTTCCTGATGGTCTGCAGAAGCACAAGCATGAGCACCTACACTCAAGTTTAGCGCCTGTGCATGACTCACCTTGAGCACAGAAGTCACACCTATGGCAAAGACTTCAGCCATTCTTTGACCTTGCGAATGAACTGAGGCGCCAGAGTGCTGAGCCTGATCCACTCTGAGCTTCGCCCGCAGTTCTCTGGGGGCCCAGCAACCCTGAGCCAGACTTGCACATCTTCAGAGCTCTCCTGAGCAGCCACCACTGCCTCGACTTGAGCGCCAAGATTGACTCTGCCAGAGGGCAGTCCATATCCCCACTCTCGACAGAAGGGGTTTCCTAGGTAAAGGAAGGCTCCCTTTGATCTCTGGCTTGTCAATTTGAGGGTGAGAGTAGGTTTGGGGCCAAAGACCTTGCTGACCAACTGGAAGATGGCACATCCACAAGGAAAGATGGGCAGCTGAGCAGAGCGTACCCAATCTCCAGGGGCCTCCAAGTCACCCCCATCTTTGCAGCCAAGAGCATCCGCACAGCCTACCAAGAGCCTCAGCAGTTGGCCACCTTTTCCTGACTTGAGCTCTCCAGATGCTGCCTTCCAGCCCTTGGCCACCGTGCCAAACTCAAGGGAGATGTTACCAACCCTGCAGCGGTCTGAGGGGGCATTTCCAGGAAAACCCAAGAGACACCTACCCTGAACCGCTCGCAAGTAGACGGGCACGCCTGCTTGAACTGCAGCCTTGGCGTCTGGATTGTTGGCGAGGAGAGACTTTGGAACTGCCATCCTCTCCCGATGATGCAGCTTGATGCCTCTGTTGGAAACCTCGGCAAAGAAGAACTGCCACCTTACATCAAAGTGCTCATCACTTGGCCTTGAGCTTCCTGAGACCTTCATTCTCTGGATGATCACAGGCAGCCCATTGAGGAGCTCCATGCATCGGGTATCCTTGCACTGAGCTTGCAAGACTGGAAGCCCAATGCACGCGTTTGTTGCAGCTCTTCTGGCCATGAAGGTGCTGCCAAGGGCCGCTCGGACGATCCAAAAGAGCTTCAGGTTCGCCTGACCAAGCTCAGCACGGTCCATCTCCATGCGAAAGATGGGTTGGGCCAGGTCGGGGAGCTGCAGCTGCAGCTGTATGCCGGCAAAGAGGTGGGCTCGACGGAGCGAACTGCCAGCAAAGAAGTCCGTAGGGCTGGCTTTCTGCGCCGATGGCAGAACCAGCTTGAGCTTCACAACTGCGACGCCACTGTCTTGCAGTTCCGGGAGCTTCTTGAGGAGGATGCGGCGCAAATGGGCTGGCACCACAAGTCCATAAAGATTGCTGGCTTGGATGCGGTTGTGCTCTCCGCTGCAGCACAAGCGCAGGTCGTATCTGCCTGCCCGCAGCAAAGTCGCAACGGCACCTCTATAGGCGACCTTTGCCACCAACATTCTTCCTTTGACAAGCTCGAGGTCAGCAGGTGAGGTAGCCCTGAGCCGGTCATACTCTGCATCAACAAGTGCTGCAAAGTGAGGGGAGAGCAAAGGGTTGAGTGCAGAAGCTCTGGCAGCTTCTTGCTTGTGGCCAGTGGGCACCACACGCTGTGCACCGGAGCAGTTGCTGCTACTGACGCCAAAGATTCCAGGGGAAGGAAATTCTTCACCTTGAATCTTGTTGTACTCCTTGTCGCCCTGCCAGGTTCCAAGTACAATGGTCCATATGAACTCTAGACAGCCAAGTAGGTGGGCATACTCGGAGTTGTTGTACTGTGCCTTGCTGACAATGGCAAGTGCTCTGTAAGAGCAGTGCTTTGCCTCTTGAGCAGCATCATAGTGGACCAATGGTGAGTACAGGCGAGCAACAACATGCTCTCGGTAACGGCGAGCAAAGTTGGTAGTCATGCCCGTGTAGCGGTGGGTTGGCTCTCCTTCTTCATCAAAGAAAGTGCCTTTGTAGACCCTGCCGCCATCTTCCTCCACCATGCTTCTCCCATCTTGCAAGCCAATAGCCTTCACCCTGCAGGATTGGTCAGCAATCCTCAAACAGCAGAGCTTGCTGTGGGCAGTGGAGCTCTGGACAAACTTCTGAAGGAAACCCTTGCTGTTGACCATTGCTTTGACATCACTGCGTATGCGCAGCTGGTTGGCAACCCTCTGAGCAGCTACCAAGGCTTCCTCAAGGCTCGAAAGGTGCTCAATAGCCTTTGGTCCTGAGGGGTAGGCCAGGGCTGCTGCGTGCCGCTTCCTAGCATGCCTCCTCGAAGCTTGGGGCTCCATCGTGCTCTGCAGCCCAACAGGCTGGTGGTCCCTGCCAAGTTGTGAGTGATGCTGGGTTAGCAACTAGTGCTGGCCCTGGCCCTTGACAGCCTCACTCACGAGAGCAGTGCCACCCAGTCGACGGCATCCTCCAGTGATTGTTTGTCTGCATACAGGTCTTGGTCCTGCCAAATGAAATCAGCATTGCCTCCCTTACCAGGCTGGGCTTGGTGGTCAGCAGTGTCTCTGTCTGCGCTGCTGCTGCTGCTGCTGTCTGATGCTGCGGCACTACGGCTGATGCTGCCTTGCTGATCAGTCACAGTACTGTTGCTGCTGCTGCTGCTGTGCTCTTGTCATTCCCTGCCTCGTCATCAGAGCTGTACAGGTCATAGCCCAGCTTGCCTTCATCATCGGAAGACGCCCAGTCAAGGAACTCTTGCTCATAGTAATTGGGACGCTCATCGGGTTCGGAGTCAGACTCGGAGAATACGTCGTACGGGTAGTCGATGCCCACATTGTCGTCTTCAGAGTCTGGCTCGGCCCCCTCCGTTCCCCACGGCGTGTGCAAAGACGTCGCATACAGTGAGCCAGCGACGCTAGACTGGGCGGTCCTCAACTTCTTTGCCACGGTGGGCTGGCAAGAGTTGCTTTCCACCGCACGCTTGGCTCTGTGGTTGGTCAGGTCACTGAAAGGTAGGCAGGAGCTTCTGTTTGGGACAGCAAAGGGCAGAATGAGTGGATGAATGCGCCTCTGTAGCGCGCTGGAGGTGCACGCACCCTTCACAAGGCATCTTGAAGGCTGATTGAGTGAGGCTGAATCTCTTTCGTGAAGTTGAATCTCTCCAGCAAGATATGAGCTCGTCTTTCAGGGAAAAGGTAAGTCCAAGCAGGGAGGAAGGCAGGAGTGATCATGCTGATGCGCATAAGCTTGGGGAGAGCACCCATATCTTGCAAGAGCTGGCCTACCTTGCATGTTGTGAGCCTCTGCAAATCCGCATGCTGCAAAGGTGTACTCTGACCTAGTTCTGCTGAGTGTTGCAACAGCTTGTCACTTTTTTTTCCTGCTGACTGTCTTTCCTTGCTGTGGTTGGTCCCCCTGTCCAACTTTGCGGCACTCTGGGTCTGCTCTGGCCTTGGTAAATGCTCCACGCCTCTTTGCCTGGCCACCAGACCTTGCCTCAGGCTCATTTGGATGGACCCTTTGAAGTTGCAATTGGAGGATGCCAAGTGATAGGCACCAACATGTTAATGAGCTCAAGATGCTGAGTCAAGACACGTTGTTTGTGATGTTGGGCTCAAGTTCAAGAAATTGATGGCCAAGGTCGCTGCTGCAGCTGAGCATGAAAGCAAGGAAGTGGATGCACTGGCGCAGACCCTCTACACAAGTTTGGCTCAAGTTCTTGAAGACCTTTCACAGAGTCCCTTGAGTGACATCCAGTGTGCACAAGCCCTTCAGCACGCTATTGCCCCACAGACCAGGCGGAAGTAGTTCATGGTGGATCAGATGGCACTCCAAAATAATCGAACGCAACCAGAGTCAGGTTCATAAATTTACACACCCCTTGTGCTGCAATGTGCGGCCAAGCTTTTGTGATTGCAAAGATGTGTTACACATCCCAGGTGCTATGAGGACAGGTAAGAGAGAGAGAGAAGAGATTACCAGCTCCAGCTGCTTGCGCCCAAAAAGGGCCAGAGCAGGGTCGCTTGTCAGCGAGTAGACTTGACCTGGACAATCGTCTGTATGTGCTGCTGCCAAGCTTGACCCTGGCTGCTAAATCGCTCAGCATCGCTGCTGTACTATCATGTTAGTAAGACCTGAAAACCGCACAACCTCTATTGTGATGAGAATTTGCCTTTTGCATTTTTGCAACCAGGAGAACTGAGATGCCAGGCTGTAGCAACACTCTTCCAAATGCACCATGTGCTAAACGCAAGCAACATTCAGCAGTTCCACATTTTTAGCTTGCGCCGCTTACTGCCAGTGATGCTTCAGGTATTTCAAGGTTGCCCATTTGCTGCTTGCCAAGTGGCATTGACGAACGAGAGGTGTGCACATGTCCACCAGAGGATGCGATCCCAATCCTCTGTTCCATGTGCATTGCTGCCTTTGTTCAGGCTGCGCCACAGCACAGCGAGGCCCTGTCACACAAGAAGTGGTGGTAGAAAGCGTGGTCATTTCTATGGACGCATGTGCGACGATTTATCTACTTGTAGTCGCGGTCACGTGCTATGACAGGCTCGCAATCTGCACACAAGCACAAAGTGTTCAAGCACCCGCATGGGCTTGGTGTAGCCCCAGTTCGTTCCATGTCATGCAGTAGCAGTATAACGTGCTGGTTGCATGTCCGTCAAACTCCTTTGCGATCTTTGGCCACACCTTGCCAACACGATCATGTAAATTCACTGTCCAAATCGTCGGACAAAGGGCTAGGAGTGATAGAGATGAAAACCCGCCATGAGCACGTTACAAGTACAAGACATGCGTATGTCTGGTGTGAAAATTTGCACATGCTCAATGTTGAACAAAGAGTGGCTAGAAAGCGCTGCATTCTGCCGCCTGAGGATTGACAAAGCTTGGAGAAGAGCGGAGGGGTGTAGGCATGGCAAAGCCAGCACAAGGCGCCCGCCAAACATATGTTTGTTGAGCGCGAAAAGAATTCACGTGTGGTCCTCCGACGCGCCATTTCTTTCCCCGCCCGCATTCACCTGGTCACTGTCGGGTCATGAAGTGATGCCACGGACACGATCTGGAGCACCCCGACGAAAGTCACGCGAGCGCTCAGAGAGAGCAGCTTGTACTTCGTCAAAGCTGCTCCGCTTGACTCCTTCACGTTTGGTATGCAGACTGACACACAGGGTTGTGCATAGCGCCGCATGTATTTCTACAAGCGCGGCGTGCACAGCTGAGCTGAACGGCTCAATTGCCGCTGACGGCGGACAAGTCTCCAGCGCCAAAGAGCTGCGCGCCAGCAAGAGCGCAAGGCCATTAGCTTGGCTTCGACACGACGCGCACCGCAGTGTCACTCACCTGCGACAAGTAAGCTTCGTAATCGTACGCTTCGCCTTGCACATCCGGCACGTCGACTCGTGGCATGGACGCTTTGAGATAGTCGATGGCGCCCTGAGGAAGAAGCGCTTGTCGGAGGTCCAACTCTGTCGTGTAGGGCTGACGCCAGAGTGGGGAGGTGTGAGTGCATGCTCAAGGCCACGCGTCGCTCGGGACTCACCTTGTCCGATGCCAGACCCTGAAACGCTTCGAGGAGCTGATCTGGTGAAGTCGTGTCTTCTGTGATCTCGCGCTGCAGGAATATGATCGGGTGAGCATGCTAATGCATCTTTTTTTTCGGTCCGACCGCAGCTCACCAAAAAGGTCAAGAAAGCAGACTGTGGCGGGAGCCTTGAGATGAGCACGCGTGCGTGTTGCTCTGATGCACTGCCACCACTCACGTAGTCGACTGCACCATAATCTACAGTGAGCTGCTGGTGGATCGTCTCAACATCTTCGTCCTGCAAGAGCAAAAGCGTGAGCGGCGCAAGTCGCTCGCAAGTCAAGCGGTGACTCGGACGTTGGCTCACGGTGTAGATGATGCCTAGAGATGCGAGTGCAGCGCCCAATTCCGGAATAGCTAGCGTGTTCGTCGCATCCTTGTCAAAATATCTAAAAGTGGATTCGAACTCCTCCAGCTGGGCAGGGGTGAGATTCGTATGCTGCCTCGAGACGATCTGCGGCAGCGTGGTCGATCAGCAGTCGTGCCGTGCAACACCGCATTCGAACGAGACTCACTTGATTCTCGATAAAGGCGAGCTTCTTGGTGACGCTGGTGGCCACGAGCTCCAGCTCAAAGACGAGATCATCTCTCGAAAAGACCGTATGGTCATTCTCCTCCACATTCGCCTCTTGGCACTCCCTTTCCGTCTCTGCCAGCGCGCGCAGCCTCTCCTCGAAAGGCCCCAAACCTTCGTGCAGAGCGCGCACCTTGGCTTTTTGATCTTCCAATTCGCCAGAAAGTCGCGCCACGCCCGCTGCAATGTCTCTCAGCGCCGCCTCGATACCGTTGGCCTGCTCCGCAAACCTGATCCTCAGCGCTTCCTTGGCTCGACGTATCTCGGCATTGATGCGCCGAGATCGCGCTGCTTCGAAAGTCGCTAATTGCGTCCATGAGAGGTCGATTTCGGCAGTGTGCAGACTCTCGCTGGGCGACCAGGGCCGTAGATGGTACGTCCTCAGCTTGGTCTGAATGTTGCCCAAGAGCGCCGCGAGGTCCGTCCTCTCGCGAACCCAAACGCGCTTCGTGCCCGCCTTGTAGGCGTTAAAGGCGCTCAACTGCAACCGAGCATCCGCGTAGCTGCCTGCAAAAGTCGCCCTGTTCCACGTCTCCTCCTCTGCAGACATGGCAGCCAGTAGCTGTGTGCGTGTGCGTGTGCGTGTGCGTGTGCGTGTGCGTGTGCGTGTGCGTGTGCGTGTGCGTGTGCGTGTGCGTGTGAGCTCGCTGTTCAGTTCCCTGCTCGCGCGTCGTGTCACGCTTCTCCCCACCCCACCACTCACCTCTCGAGCCCTCCGTTCGTAGTCCTGCTGCATGATCCAAGCGCTCTGCATGACGTCTGCAAACGTGGCCACCCTCCTGCTGACCACTTCTGCCTGTTCCATCGAGCTGAAAGCGTGAAAGTACTGTGCGACATACGTCATGACGCTCCTCTCGTCTGGTTTCTTTGCGTCGCACAAATCTTCCACGTCGAGCAATTGAGGAATGCCGAGGTGCTTGGCGGCAATGTCGAATGCTATCCTGGTACATTCGTGCGAAGAGCCTGGCAGGTCGGCGTAGGAAAGCAAATCTGGCCGATGTCGATGTATGAGCGCACAAAGAGCTCTGCCGGACTGCCAAGAATACGTAAAGTCTTTGACGTCGACGTCGTCGTATGGCGCGGTCTTGCGCTGACACCACAGCAGCAGACCCTCTCTCGCAGACAGACCCTCGGCGCTAATGTCGGCGATGGTGAAGCGTAGAATCAGCGTCCATATCATGCCCAAAATCAGCTTGAGATTGCCGTCGATGATATCTATACAGGGGCGCCAACGTGAGCCTCGTGTCTTGCTGCTGACTTTTGCGCCACTCACCTTCAGCTCCGACATTGGTGAGCACCACTCCTCTCGCCCTGATAAAGTCCAATGCCAAATTGACATTTTCGGCCATCTGCACCCTCATCCGGGGTGTTCTGTAGTACCTGCCCAACGAACAATCGCCCATGATCTCCATCAACTCTACCAGCCTGACTCCGTTGCAAAGGTCCGTCGCCAACGAAGTCATAGGAGGGATATCCCTCGCCTCCAATTTGAGATTCAACCATTTGCAAAACGTCTTGGCCTGCGGGTGGGGAACGCGATCCATCAACTAGCTGCCAACCTCTTCCATCCCGCCGCGACGCTGACGCACCTGCACCTCTTCCCAACCTCGATCCTGATCCGGCAACCCTTTTGCTCTGGCATACGCCATGGTGTCGGACGTCGCAAGCGGTGCCGGTGCTGTGTGCCTTGCGGGTGAGTAGGCAGCTGCTATTGGGGAGGCGCAATTTCGACGATGGTGATCGTCATCGTGGTGAGGAAATGAAGGCGTCTCTATTCGAGGGGACACCTCCTCGGTGCGCATGCATGCAGCGTGCAGCACGCACCACCACCGCACCGACAACAGCGGTTCACGGACGCGGCGGTGTTGTTCTTCGCGCGCGGCAGTTGCGCACGCGTCGATGGAGATGCATGAGCCTCCACAAATCATCACGTCAACATCAAGAAGCGCGGCTGAGATTACCTCGACCGCAGTCACAGCCGTCAACACACATTCACGATTAGTGAGGCACAGAATGGCATTTCGACGAGCATGCATGTCATCGTTGCTGCATTCTAAGCCTTGCAAAGAACGCCTTCCTCGTCCAGCTGTGCGCGCACGAGAGGGGGGAGGGCAAAGACGGTCAGCCGTGCAGCGCATGGGTACACCACGCTTCGACTCACCGTCATCAATTGCGCACCAGCGCACCAACCCAACTCGCTTCCCGCCAATTTCTTGGCCACCGTGACTTGTCTGTTGGCGCCCAGATCGTATCCTAGACTCAACAGGGCGTGCTGAAAAGTCAGGTCCAAGCACGTTTCGGGTCTATCGCGCAATTCCTTGAGCGCTTCCGGGTACTTGCTTGGCGGGAAGCGCACGCTCCATCGGGCTGGGCCCGCACAGACATCCTTGGCTAGCGACTCGAGGAGAGAGATGCTGAATGTCCCATTCACACCCAACGGTTCAAGCCTGTCGTAAAAGTAGGACAGCGCGACGATGGGCGAGTCGGCAAAGCTGTTCATCAGCGAAGGTTGGTAGACGCCTGCAAACGAGCATGGTGAGGTCGCGCATGCACTTGAGACGATACGTGACGAGGCATCAGCGAGTGTCTGCATGCCAACGGCGAATCTCTGCAGCCAACTCACGCATCCTTGTTCATCATGACCTCGACGAGCCTCTTGCAGCCCGCAAATCCACCAGGAGCGCCTGTCAGCATCACCTCCACCTCGCCATCACGTCCCGGCAGCACCACCTTGGCCTTTTTTTCCGTGCCCGGAGCAAAGCACGGACTAGGGATGCGCGCAGCGTCTGCACCCGCAGTGACGCCGATCACCGCCGTGCCAGTCGAGGGGCCGAATTTGACGGCAGATGGGTGGGAGAGGGCATGGCTGAACGTCGCCAAAGCATTGATAGACTTGCGCGCCTGCATCAGACCATAACCGAGGTAGGAGTTCTGGTACAGCGTGTAGTTCCTTCCTCCAAAGCCTGCAGACAATGTGGTCAGCGCCTGGAATCAATATTGCACGCATTCACTCTTTGCTCACCCTCGAGCGTGTAGACGTGCGCACCGGGAGGCATGGGCCCGCTACCCGGTGTGGGCTCGAATACGATCTGCGTCGAGGCGCCCCCTAGATCCATGACTGCTGCCGTCTTGGGTGCGACATTGGTGCCCTGCACGCCGATCCGATTGAGGAGATAATTGACAGTGATCCATGCAAAGACGCCTGTGGCGTGCGTGCGTGCGTGCGTGCGTCAGCGCAGAGGCCTCGAGAGCAGTCCTCGCAAACGTCTCTGCCGCACTGTCCCACCCACCTTCATCTCTGCCCTCCATGATCTCGACGCCTTTGCCACGTCCATCGGGCCCATCCGCGATGGGAAAGGGATACTCGTGCTCAAGCATATACCTTACGGCATTGAGAATATCCTTGCTCTGCTTTGCTCCCAACAATCGAAGACCAGCAGTCGCCTTGACAGAGATGGGCGTGCACCTCCTCAAGCTTGGCGGCACGGACTTGTATGCTGTCTGAAGTAGCGGGCGCAGAGAATCTGCAGCACCTTGCGCGTTGGAGCCGTACGAAGAAAGTCCTCCTCTGATCATTTCAAACACTTCCGATTCCAGCTCGGGCGAGGAGCTGCAGTAGTTGAACTGCAGCGATGGCGTGGAGGTCAGCAAAGCGATCGCACGGCAATCGAAAGTCACACCCACCTTGTAGACGTGCACTCTGCTGCCAGTGCTGCCCGCGTCGATCATGATGCCGTACTGCACCGTCGGTCTGAGATGCCCCTTTGCGTCCACGATCCTACCTCCATTGCTCTCGCAGCGCCTAGTTCTGAGCGGATCTGCATGCTTCTCTGGTGGTGTCCTGATATTTCCCAACACGTCGCCTCCCATCCAAGGATTCTGAGGCCAGTCAAAGTGCAAGCCCGACAGATCCACCTCTTCCAATCGTTCGCCTGCCGACGCCCAAGCTGCTTTACCTCTTTCCGCAACATATCTTCTCGAGGGAGAGAGCAATACGATGCCCAGAAAAGTCAAGCTGACTGCGAGGAAGATGAATTTGCGAGGAGAGAGGGCAAGGCGGGAGCGAGCCATCCTGCTGGTCGGTAATGATGGGCTTGGCCCTCCCCCGCCGTTTGGCGGATAGGAGCTGCTGCCACTGCTGGTGCTGCTGCTACCTGCCTCTGCTCGCAGCAGATCTAAGCTGGATTTGCCGGATTTATGGCCTGAACCGAAGCGAGGGTTGGAGCTTGGGCGAAGGATGTTGAAAGGGGTTTGCGGCGCGTGAGGTGCGCCGTGGGGGAGATGCGTGGGCGGCGTTGCTTGTCGCTGAGAGTTGAGAGTGCGTGGCAATGCGTGAGGGAGGGGTGCGTGCGTGCGTATGTGCGCGGGTGTAAGAGCGTGCTGATCGTTGCAACAAAGGCCCTTCATTCGTGATTGCATCGCTGTTGGTGGCTGGTGGCTGCTGTGATTCAATGTCCCCGCACCCCGTCGTCGGTTTCCTTGTTTGGTCACCACGTGGACTCACAACTGCGATGGTGAATGATCGTAAACGCCGCCTGCTAGTTATTGCAGCGCATGCTGCATGCGCGCATCGCGATGGAGGTCCGCGGAGCCGGCGGTACTCGTGCACGACTCTTGGAGGCGGCGGGTGCACGCACGCACGCACGCTACACTCGTGACTCGTGACTACCACCTTGATGACCACAACAGGTGGATTCACGTCAAGCTGATTGAAGGAGCGCGCTGCGCTGCGCTGATGGATGAGAGGTCATCATTGACGAGTGCAAGGACTCGATGCGGTGCAAACTGACGCCCCGTTTGCGGAGGACATGGTGGACGAGCGGTGTGCAGCAACGCTTTGCACTGCTGCTGCTGCTGCTGCTCGGGTGCTTCTCCGCAGCATTCGCCCAGATCGACATTCAAATTCCAAGCAACGCACCCATGCTGGTTCTTCAAGCGCCTCTGACGCCCTACAGCGCATCCATACCATCCGGCCCTCCTCCTGCTGCTCCCAATCGAACTGCACAGCCCTTGCCGTCCAATCCAAACCCCGCCCTTGGAAGCACCTCATTCCTACTGGATCTCGCACCTGCAAACGTCGCCCCCAGTATTCCAATCCCTGCCAACTTGCTCGGCATCAGCATCGAGCTCAGCGTCGCCGACGAGTACCGTGAGCGCTGACGTGATTGTTGTGGAGCGACAATCGCTGACCCCGCACGCGCTTCACGCCCCCCAGTCGGCAGCGACCCGCAAACACCCTCGTTTCAATTTCTAAATTATCTGGCAAACATACGGGCACGTGCCGGAGTAGGTCCAATCGTACGCATCGGAGGTGAGCGCGGGAGGCGAGCGCGGAAGGCGAGCGCTGAGGGGGGGCCAAAGTGATGGACTCTGTGCCCACTCTTTCCTGACATCAGAGTCTCGCAACCAGGCAACACGCAAGACACTGCCGAATATGCCAGCAACTTGGATGGCATCATACGCAAAGTCGGCGGAGGGCTCAACGCAGCTGGCATACCCATCACGCCCCACCTCGTCTATAGCGACGTCATCTTTCAGTCTCTCAAGACATTGGTCAATCTTACGGACGCGCGCATCGTCTGGGGCGTCAACATGGTCAACAACACTGCTGACTTTACGCTCGACATGGTCGAGCATCTCCAAAAGAGCGTGGGAGACTCGCTCGAGCATTTACTGGTGAGCGTGTGCGTCTCAATGTTGCCGCAATGAAGCTGACGCCGCCTCTCGCGCGTAGGTCGGCAACGAGCCCGATCGATATGCTCTCACAGGCAACAGACCTGCGTCATACAGCATCGACACGTATCTGGACGAATTGGGAGCCCTCACGCAGAGCATCATCAACGCCGCTTATGCGGATGATATGCGCCAGTTCAGCGCTCCGAGCGTCTGCTGCTCGTGGACGACTAGTCAGAGTGAGCGAGCGCGCGTGACGTCGCGCATTCGGCCCCTCATGCTGACGCTCGCACAACCCCGCAGTTCTTGACGCTGGGATGCGATCGCGCTTCTCTGATCGGCTCAAAGGTGAGGCGCACGAGCATCCTCGAGTGTGTGCGCATGCTCACACGCCCGACAATGCCTTGCAGCCATCAGCGCCATAAAGTGTGAGGGAGCGCTAAAGTTTGGACGTGCCAAGTCGCCCGCGCTCACACGTTTCATCCCGCAGACCCGCAAAGCCTGTGCCAATCGGATGCAGTGTATGGGCATGCGGGATACCTCAACATGACAAACATTGTCGACGTTAGTGGCGCTACGGTCTCCAAGTCTGCGCTCGTGTCTGACTCTCGCACCACGTTTGCAGTTTGCCATGTACGATGTTGCTGCCGTCAGCACAGCAGTCGAAATGGGCCTCCCGTATGTGCTTGCCGAAACGGTGCGTACACACCGTCACCTCTCTGCCCATCAATTCTCACTCACGACTTTTTGTGAATCTCTCTCCCCTCTCCTCTTCTCACCGCAGAACACCGCGTCGTGCGTGGGAGTCGCTGGAGTCAGCGATACGTTCACGAGCGCCCTCTGGGCGATCACTGCCTCTTTGGAACTTGCTTACCGCAACCATTCCGCCGTGCTGCTTCACAACGGAGGCGCAAAGTGAGCGAGAGCAAGCAGTCTCGAGCCTATGCACGTCCGCGCTCACACTCGTGACTCTCCCACAGCGTCCTGTACAACGTCTTTCATCCGCCGACGCGCAACACGACCACGACTGCGTGGCGCACAGCGCCAATCTACTACTCGCTGATCGTGTTAGCTGAAGCCCTTCGCTCCACGTCGAGCGAGCGGTCACGCGTTCGAAATCTCGGTCTGAACGAGACGATGGCGGCAGCTTATGGTGTGTATGAAGAGGAGACTCCAGTCAAGCTCGTCCTGGTCAACATGGCCTCCTCAAACGATCAGACCCAGGTCATGAATGTCGAATTCGATCTGCCTGCGAATGGTAACGCTGCTGTATCATTCAAGACGCTGACCGCCGCGAGCGTCGATGAAAAGGCCAATATTGTGAGCCGCACGTGCCTGCGCTAGCTTATGCGCCGCACGCTGACGTCCATTCCACGCCAGACCTGGGCAGGTCAAACGCTCTCCTACTACTCGGACGGAACTTTGATCGGCACCGAGGACGTCCAGACGCTAGCGTGCCCTTCCCAACGATGCACGTTGCGAGTGCCTGCTCCGAGCGTCATCCTCGTCTTTCTCACGCAACAAGCGCAGAGCAAGGCCTCTGTCAGCGCTTCGGCCTTTGAGCCGCAAGGCACCAACAACAGACAATTGGTACTCGATTCGAATGGAAGCAGAGGTAATCGAGGAGGCAGCACTTCCAAAGGCTCCACCAGACGCAATGCGGGATGCGCTCGCACTCGCGCTCGCCCCACATTGCCTCTCTTAGCTGTGCTCGCGCCCCTCTTTGTATCACTATCAGTCTAGCGCGATCGTCGATGACATTTTTGATGGGGGGGAGATGCTCAGAATACAACGTCTAGTTATCCTCGGGCGACAAGTCGAGCGCAGGGCCATAAGGCTTGACCGTGAAAAATGCCTGGTCGAACCAATTCACCCTCACATAGCCATCTTCTCCGCCCGACGCAAAGCACTTGCCGCTGGGGTGGATGATGATGGAGTGAATGGGTCCAAAGTGCTGAGCGATGGTGGAGCATTCCTCCTCGAACACCTTGTGCCAGAATCGAGCTTCGAAACGACCTTGCCTCGCGCTCGTTGTTGTGACATTCATCGCATCCTGCCCTCCCCCGATGATGACGTACGGTCGAGTCGGATGGATGGCAGCGCTGTTGAGAGGCGTAGAGGTGGTGTAGGTCTTGAGGATGGCGAGCGACTTTGTATCGATCAGCTTGGCAGTCTTGTCTTTGCTGCTAGTGATCAGATACGTGCCGTCGGCGCTCAGCTGCAGATCCGTCACCTGCGCATCTGGGTGCGCATTCACGCTATTCTCCTCCAACTCTGCATCCATGCCGCTCTCTGGCTCCTTTTCATCGTGATAATACGCTGCCACCTTTCCATTCTCGTGCCCAGTGATGATGTACTGATCAGCAGGCGCCCAAGCAGCCACGGTTGCTTTGGGACCGCTGAACGTAATGTTCCTGATCGGCTCCGACGATTGCTGCGTCCACGTCTCTGCATCTCGGTTGATGCGAAAAACTTTCAAAGTTGCCCGGAAACCCATCCTCTGCTCTGTGATTGCTAGCACCTGCGTGCCGTCCTCTGAAAATGCGACGCACTTGACGGCAGTGTCAAACTCCCACGTATAGAGACATTTGCCAGTGGAAACCTCGTACAACTTCATCTGGTTGGCCGCTGATCCCGTCACCAGCAAGGATGAAGAGTCTGTAGTGGCGACGCTGGTGTCAGGCAAGGGTGGGGGGGAGGAATGCCAAGCCCACAGGCGCATACTCACAATCTGGGTCGATGCTCCATACGCTACCATTGTTTCCCTCGTACGTTCCTAGTCTCTCTCCATTGTGAGAGTACCAGACATTGACCACCTGATCCTTGGAGCAGGAAAAGAGCAAATCGCCTTCTCTGTTGAACTTGATCTGGTTCAGCGCTCTCTCGTGTCCGGACAACAAGAGCGGACGCTGCGAGCGGGCTCGAAAGGGTCAGTAGGTTGCGTGACAGCGACGGCGAGACTGGCAGACGCACCATGTTGGAATGTTGGGGGCTGGTACAGCTTCGCAACGAGATTGGTGGGGGATAGTGGCTGTGTGTGCGAGAGATGATGTGCTCTCGCGTCGCGGTAAAGGAAGATGTCGAAATCGCGAATCAATGGAATGCGCGTGAGCCCGCCTAAGGACATTCTCGCGCACGTGGCTTGTTATGCGCGACATTTGCGTCACTCGACTAGCATATACACAAAAGAACGCGTAGGACCGTCAGATGAATGCCGCGTCGTGCTCACCTGTCATGGGTTTTCGAGGGATCCGTGTACTGCGCCCGCGCAGCCAATGTAGTCTTAGCAGCCCATCGCAACGCGGAGTCGCAGCTTCGTGACGCGGCGTGCAAACGCATGTGCTCACACTGCTTCAACGCGGAGGTCAGTCGTGTGCTTCGCGCACACACAGCGCCAGGGTGGTCAACACCGCAGCGCACCTTCGCCGCTCTGCGGACTGATGTGAGGGGAATCATGCTGAGGCTGGTGGGCTTGGCCCTCAAATCGCGGCGCAGCTCTCATTAGCGCGGAAACTTCCTTTTTTGTGGTCGCTTTTGTGGTCGCGCTGATCACGTGCGTGAATGCCCAAGAAATTTGTTTGGAAAGGGTGCTTTGGCGTGCTCACCCCCGAGCGAGCTGGAGAGCGCGACAGGCCCTCCATCTTGCCGCCCATCACGCAAAGCGACTTTCTACAACATCGCCATGGCGAGCTCACGCATCACCAAGAAGGACAGGGCAACGGTGGAGGTGGCGGCGGCCTCACCGCACACGTCTCGTCTGATTGCGTTGCAGGCGTCCCTGTCCGGCTCCACAGATCTTAATCCTCTAAGCGATCTGCTAGCGCTGATCAGCGAACTCTCAGCAATACCAGATGCCGCCTCTACGCTGCTGCCCAAGAGCATGTCGCTGCTCATGCACTCGATTTCTGCTTTGGTGCGAGCAGACAAGGTCCCGTTGGACGCATTTGTAGACGCAGAAGGAAAGCTCCAAGTGCATGCGCACAACGAACAGCAGGACGCGAGCTTGATGGTCAAAAAGTGGATCTCTGAGCGCTTCAACGAGAGCGTGCAATGCTTTTGCGCGCTTCTTGGACACGAAGCTGAGCATGTGCGGGTGAGTCGAGAGCAGCCGTCGATTGCATTTGACGCTCCTGTTGACTCTGTCTTCCGCAGCTGCTCGCCCTCAAGTACCTTGTGGCGCTCCAAGTCAGCAGTTCGGCCTCTCTTACTCATATACGCAGCAAGCCCAACGCAAATGCTACTTCCGATGCACACACGTCTCTGGGTCAATGGGCGTCTGCGCCTTTTAGGGCGCTCATGCTCGTTTTGCTCGCTGGTCCCAAGGCATCCGCACTCGCAGCGGATGTGAGAGACGCTTTCGTCAAAGAGTATTTGGAGGAGTACGACGATGTTCGCCTGGCGGTGTGCAGGGAAGTCAGGTGCGTGGCGTGTCGAGCTTCGATAAGGAGCGCCCCCATTCACGCCTTGATCTCCGCCCCCCCACAGAACCATCTTGCACGCCATTCCGCCATCGCTTGCAGAGTCGCGGCTGCGAGAGAATGGCACCGAGCTGCTGCTCCGCTTGACCGAAATTCCAAAGGTCGTCCAGGATCTCAACACCTTTATCGTGCCGCAGCTGCAACACCCTCCCCCTTCGTCAGACGCACCCGATGCCAAGGGCGGCAAACGCAAAAAGTCGCTCGCAGGCGCCTCGCGTGCATCCAAAAAGCAAAAAGTCGTCGACGCAGGTGGGAGCGAGAATGAGAGCGACGATGAAGCGGAGGAGGAGGACATGCAGGCATGGTTCTCCGACTCGGATGACGAGGAGCAGGAAAAGACACGCGCTGGCAAGGGCAAAGGCTTCAAGGGAGGACCCGGGCCTCGCCGCGATGAGCCAGAACAGATTCGCGCCGGCAATCACACCCCCACACCGGGCTCATGGTCATCGATGGGCCGAAAGAGGAGCCGTAGGGTGCCACCGTTTCACGTGTGTGTGCACAACCTGGCTGCGCACAAGGCCGCTTTTAGTGCGGCGTGGTACGCAGTGTTGCTGCCTCGACGCGATGAAGAGGGTCGCATAGCAGGCGGCCCCATTCCGCAGCACGTCAATCACCAAGTGCTGCTACGCTTCCACAATCAAATCTTGCCGAATCTGTCCAAGCCGAGACTCGTTGTGGACTGGCTCGTAGATTGCCTCGAAGCTGGTGAGTGCTAGTAGGGTCCTTGTTTCCGTGCTCTGCTTACACGCCTCTCCGGAAATTAGGTGGAGCGACCTCTCTGCTCGCATTGAACTCGCTCTACACTCTTATGCTCTCGCACAACCTTCAGTACCCATCCTTTTACAACAAGCTTTACTCGCTCCTGATCTCCGACCCACCGTTCCTGCACGTGCGCTACCGAGCACGCTTCTTGCGTCTCCTAGATAATTTTCTTGCCTCCTCGCACCTTCCCGAAGCGCTCATCGCTTCGTTTGCGAAGCGCATGGCCAGAGCCAGCTTGAGAGCTCCACCAGCTGCGGCCGTCAGCGTCATTCCGTTTGTCTGGAACCTGCTCAAGAGGCACAAGGGCTGCCTTGGACTGATACATCGCGTCTTTAACGACGATCGCTTCGATCTGGGACCCAAGGGCATCGAAGGTGCGTTCAGCTCGTGCGTTCGGCTCGGCAAAATTCCCCTTCTGAGGCTGCGCCCGCCCCCTTCCCAGACCCGTACGACGCGCTCGAAACAGACCCGCTCAAGACTCGTGCGCTAGACTCTTCGTTGTGGGAGCTTGCAGCTCTAGGAGCCTCTTTATCGGCGCGCGAGAAGCAAGGCGGCGGATTGTCAGGGGCCACTTTTGCAGACGAGGCTGGAGGTCAATCGCACTACCTGCAAGGCGTAACCACCCTCTCGCACATCCTCGCCGAGCCCTTTCTCAAAGACAGGTGGAATCTGGAAGACTTTTTGGACATGACGTACGCCACTGTGAGTCGCCACGATTCTTGAAAAAAGCATCGCAGGCAGGGGCATCGCCGCAAGCTCACGAATCCCGTCGCGCGCCATGCCCTCGCAGCTCTTCGAGTCGGAAATCGCTCGCACACTTCGACCGACGGCATCGCAGGACGACCACAGGGCACGGCCTCGCCCTCAAGCCGTGCCAGCGCTATCGCACAAGCTCTTGCCCGTCGCTCACATCTTTCCCTCGCTCAAGGCTCATCAAAAGATCGACGAAGCTGCTGCAAAAGCGCGAAAAGAAGTCGAGCAGCTCATGCAGGAGAGCGTGCCCGAAGCTGGCCAAGGAGAGGATGACGAAGATCGAGAAGCGCGAGAGGCGGTGTGGGATGTGCAACGCCAAGCCAAAATGCGGGAAGCTGAGCGCAAAGCATTAGCAGCCGATCAGCGAGACATTTGCGCAAGACTTTGGGCATTCTGATTACGTTTGCAGGGGGGGGGGGGGGGGG